AAAAAAAAATTTGCATTCACTCTACAACTCTTGTCAACGTGGATTCGTAACTCATACAGAAGTGAAAAAAAAAAAAATTCACCCGCCATAATAAACGTGGCGTACATGGGATTGCGTTTCATACAGTGAAAAAAAAAAAAATTCGCTCATGTTATTTAGTGACAAAATTCGTGTTTCATACGGAGGAAATAGAAAAAAAATATTTGCTCGTCAAATTTTCGGCGACAACAACTCGGATTCACATAAAAAAAAAAAAAACATGGCAAAGTTTTTTCGAAAGACAAAATGTCAACTTAGTGATGAAAAAATCAGTCGTATTCTTAACTGAGAAAAGAATTTTATTATTTTTTCTCGATAAGACAGTTTGCTCAAATTAAATAAGTCACGAATTACAAATTTGTTTTGGACCCCCCTCTACAATATCTAAGCATTGTGTAAACTTTTTGCGAAGATGGAGGAATGCAAAAATATATTCCAGGAATTTTTTAAGTTCCAGACGGAACAACAAAAGACTATATTAGAGCAGCAGAAAACATTCCAGATACAACTTCAGGAGGATACCTTTAATAGACAGATTCAATTTCAACGAGAAATGGAACTGATGCATAAGGAGTTTCAAAACAAAATTCTGGAAATAACTGAGAAGAGGAAAGAGAAAAATCTACGAAATGATTCTTTCCCAGAGAATACAATATGGAATTCGATTGAAATATTCATGTACAGTTCAGACGAAGAAATAACTTTTGAAGAGTATTTTAAAAAATATACGGACGTGTATAACGAGGACTGAAGGAAAGAAGGTTAGACTTCTTTTAAGCAAGTTAGGAACTGCTGAGCATAACAAATTGGTAAACTACATTTTACTGAAAAAAACTAGCGAGTTAACTTTTATCGAGGCGGTAAATATATTAAGTGAATTATTTAATAAAAAGACATCTTTGTTTCACAAAAGGTGGAAATGTTTGAATCTGATGAAAGAAGATGAACAAGACTTTATAACATATGCAGCTAATGTGAACAAGCATTGTGAAGAATTCAAACTAGCAGAATTAAGCGCTGACAATTTTAAGTGCTTGATATTTGTTCGGGTTTAGTTTCAGAAAGAGATGCAGAATTGAGGAAATTGGTACTTTCAAAATTGGAAAACGAACCAAGGATTTCGGTACAGAGTTTGGCAGAAGACTGCACAAGATATGTTAGCGTAAAGAAAGACTCGAAAAAGATAGAACAGTCTGGCGTTTCGCATGTAAGAAAAATACACTGCAAAAAAGAAAGTCAGTCTACCAAAAAGAATTCTAAAATTGCGGATTATCAAACAAAAAGTGAAATACCAGGAAAAAATAAACAAAAACTTCCGAAGCCATGTTTTGTTTGCGGTGAACTTCACTGGTATAGATATTGCAATTTTAGGAATAAAAAATGTTTCAACTGTGAAAGAGTGGGGCATAAAAGCTCGCACTGCAGGTCAAAAAATAAAAACAATAAAATAAGAAAATTAAAGTTCGACAAAGTGAACGACGGAGTAACCAGTAAATTTGTTACCGTTGAAATAAGTAATAAAAAAAATAAAAATGCAACTTGACACTGGTTCCGACCTATCTATCATAAATTTGAATACATGGAAGAAGTTGGAAAAACCAACTTTAATGAAGACAAATAAAATCGCGAGGTCCATGACAGGAGAAAAAATACAATTTATTGGAGAATTTGTTACAAACGTCACGTTAAATAAAAAAACGCAAAAAGCTAAACTATTTGTCATAGAAAATACCACAAACTTACTTGGTACGGATTGGATAACAGAATTTCAATTATGGGATTTACCAATAAATTCTTTCTGTTACAAGGTTGAAAATTTAAAATGCGAAGCCCAGAAATTAGTACAAAAATTGAAGGGAACTTTTCCTACTGTTTTTTCTCCAGGTTTGGGAATGTGTACCAAGATGGAGGCAAAATTCCAACTAAAAGAAAACGCTCAGGCATTATTCAAAAAGAAAAGGAATGTGCCGTTCGCTTCAATTGAACAGATAGATAAAGAATTGGACAGATTAGAAAAAACCGGTGTACTTGAAAAAGTTGAGTATAGTGAATGGGCTACACCGACGGTATACGTAAAAAAAAAGTCTAAAGAAATTCATGTTTGTGATGATTTCTCCATGGGTTTAAATTCAGCACTCAAAGACTATAATTATCTGCTACCAACAGCGGAAGAAGTATTTGCGAAGCTTAATGGAGGCACAATATTTTCGAAGATAGACCTCAGCGACGCATATTTGCAAATACCGGTAGAAAGAGAAACGTCAAAACTTTTGTGTATAAACACACATCGGGGTCTGTATAAATTTAACAGACTACCTTTTGGGGTTAAGGTAGTGCCCGCCATTTTCCAACAAGTAATGGATTCAATGCTGGGTGGTCTTGATTTTGCGATAGCATATCTGGACGACATCCTCTTGAGAAGTAAAAGTATAGCAGAACACGTGGAACATTTAAATGCAGTAGTTTCAAGAATACAGGATTTGGGATTTAAACTCAAGGAAAACAAATGTGAGTTTTTTATGGAGAAAATAAAATATCTAGGGCAGATCATAGATAAGAATGGTAGAAGGCCAGACCCAGAGCGAGCAGTGGCTATAAAAGATATGCCAGCTCCGAATGATATTACCACATTACAAAGTTTTTTGGGATTAGCCAATTATTACCAAATTTACATCCCTAAAATGTATGATCTGCGGGCACCATTAAATGAACTACTGAAGAAAGGAAAACCCTGGAAATGGACTAATGAATGCCAAAAAGCATTTGAAAAGATAAAGGATGTGTTAACCTCAGAATTATTTTTAACCCATTACAACACGGAGTTAGAGATCATAGTAGCTTGTGATGCAAGTGCGTATGGAGTAGGAGCATGTATCTTACACAAAATGACAAATGGTCAAGTAAAACCAATTGCACATGCTTCTAGAGCACTACTTCCGGCTGAGAAGAATTACTCTCAGATAGAGAAAGAGGCGCTAGGAATAATATTTGCAGTAGCAAAATTTCACCGTTTTCTCCATGGTCGACATTTTAAGCTACAAACCGACCATAAGCCTTTAATTTCGATTTTTGGATCGAAAAAGGTTTTGCTGGCGCATGCAGCCAACCGTCTACAGAGATGGGGTATGATATTGCTAAACTATAACTTCAGCATGGAGTACATACCATCGAATAAATTTGGCTACGCTGATGGGCTGTCCAGGTTAATTCCAAAAATGAGCGAACCATTAGAAGACACGGTAATTGCCTCACTGAAGTCAGAAGAAGAGCTGAAATTTACTGTGTGTAATGCAGTTCGGGACAAGTATATTAAGGGAAAATAGCCGAGAGGGACCGGTACACAACAAATGTTTTTTCGCTTTGCGATACAGTATTGTTATACAGAGAACGTGTGATGATTCCATATACACTGCAGAAGCAAATACTAAAGGATTTTTATACTGGTCACCCGGGCAGCACTAGGATGAAGAGCCTAATGCAAAGTTTTGTATATTGGTCGAATATGGACAGGGACATTGAGAACGCAGTGGCAAAATGTAAAGGCTGTGCTTTAGCTGCAAAGGCACCCCCAATAAAATTTAACCCCTGGCCAAAAACAGACTTACCATGACATGTGGATTTTGCAGGTCCACTGAATGAATACCATTGCATCATAGTAGTGGATAGTTTTTCGAAATGGCCTGAGATACAAAGGATAAGAAATCCGATGACGCAAAGTACTAAAAACTTCCTGCTGGAATTGTTCGCAAGGTTTGGTGTAGTAGACACAATTGTGACAGACAACGGAAGTCAATTTACGTTGAAACAATTTAGAGATTTCTGCAAGGAATACAATGTCGAACATGTTACCACAGTCCCATATCACCCAAGATCAAATGGGTTAGCTGAAAAATTTGTGGACACTCTGAAAAGAGCTCTAAAGAAAGCTAGGGAAATACCTGCAGATGAAGCCCTACAGAAGTTTCTACAGGTATACAGGATTACCCCAAATAACGAAACACCAGCCTCATAGTCGCCAGCCGAGGTGATGTTCGCACGTCGGGTAAGATCTGTCTTCGACAAATTATTACCAAAAAAGGCAAAGCCAGGTAGAGAAAAATTTATTCAAGTAAAAAAATACAATCCTGGTGAAAAAATATATTTTAAGGTCTATAAGCAGAATAAATCATTCTGGGAGATTGGAAAAATAGAAAAGCGGATTGGCAATATGATGTACTTGGTGAAAGGCGAAAAATTCACGTGCAGAAGGCACATTAACCAGATCAGACGACGTGCTTCAGACGTGGTCGACAGCGGTCCCGCGGAAGAAACGCCGAGGTGGTGATTTTCGATACGTTTGATCTAACTACACTTGCAACACTTTTACCTGAGATACGCCGATCCAGGAGAAAAAGAAAGGCAACTGATCCTTTAAAAGTGGACCCCAAAATGTAGGAGATACGCTACGATGTTGCTAAAAAAAAAATAAATAAAGAAAACTTTTTACTTCCTACGGAGTAAAGTTTTAGGGGGGGATGTCATGCCATATTACCTATTCTATTGTAATGGACTCTCTCACAGATAATAAGTAATAAGTAGTAGTAGCAGTGGCCCGTGGGGGTCAGTGGTGTTGAGGTAGTCAGACGATATTGGACATTGAAGTACCAACCATCACAACTAGATTGCAGCGTCATTAACTCTTATTTTCCAAATTCCTAACGTTTTGTACGTCGAACCTAATTTAGGACAACTTATTGAAATACAAGCCTCCACTGTGAAAACTACTCCACAACAGTAAATGATATTGAGAAATAGTAGTTTTAAAATATTTTACTGAATTAATGATTAAATTGAACATGTGCAGGTTGCAAGCTTGAAATTTTCAATAGAAAGTCAATTAAATTGTTTAATGTTACCATTTTTAATCTTTTTTTTTTTTTTAGAGATTGTCTATTTTTCTCTTTGTGTTTATTTTTTATCAGGTGCCTCCTTATATCTTTTTCTTTATGTGTTGTGCCTCTTACCGCATTCATTCCATCTATGTCCTGCGACTGTTCAATGATCCAGTAGCCATGTTGTTCTTCTATTTTGCTGTTTCTCTTATGATCAGAGACCACTGGGCACTTGGATGCCTATTCTACAGGTAAGAAGATGAATTATAACCATGGCTATTGTGAATTTTATATACATTTAAAGTCCCCAAGGATAAATTATATTCCAAAAATTATCAAGATAGAAGAAAAAAAAAAAGATTAAAAATATATACATCAACAGTATTTTAAATTTTCCTCTCCTCCAGCTATGGGTTAAATAGTAGGATTTGCATCTAAAAAAAATCATTATTCTCAAAAGAATATTTATGGAGTATACACTTACAAAAAAATATTTTCACAATACAAAAAATGTTACCCACAAAAGGTTGATAAGCCATAAAAATCAAATCAATCAACCCCCACTCTCTTGTGTGTGTGTGTAAATACTTATAAAATCAATGTCTGTAGCCTAATGATGAAAAAAAGGATTTATTTTACACTCCTTTCTTGTTAATGCACTTAATACCTCTCCATGGAACATAAAGATCAAAATTCAACCAATTACTACATCAGGCTATGGATTTATCACCCCTCTTTTGAACTGTTGCAAAGAAATGAAAAAATTTTCCACTCGAAATTAAAAAGAAATATCATGTGGAATTATTTTTGTTAACACTGAAAATTCATTAAGAAATTGTGGGCAAGATATTTCAGTATATTTCCCAGAATCAAAAAATATTGATTTGTTATTGTTTTAGATATTTAAAATATCAATACAGTGTCAAATCAATCCATGACTTTCATGATCTATTTCTTCACTCATAAGCCAACCATCAAACCCCAGAAACAGAAGCAAATATTCAATCTTGTGTTTACCTTGAATGGAAAGCATCATGAAAATCCAAGAATGTTCTTTGCCTGATTGTCAATATCATTATATTTCCTTGAGTGTTGTATACATGCTCTCTTCAGAGCAAAACATCCTGCTACAGATAAGTCAGTTTTATCATGAGATCCCTTTTATTATCATTAATGTTTGCTTCTTTTCTATGAAAACTTAAAAAAAAAAATATATTGTCCCAAAACACAAACCATAAAAACATGCTCTATTCCTATGTATCACCATTATTTAGTACATTGACAGAGAATAAAATTCCTACACTCTGAATTAGGACTGGTGCAAGGGTATCATGGGTCCCCACCAAATCTATGATACAGGACCCTGACTCTACTACATCCCAATTTTCCTAAGGTAGTATTCATATAAAATGCAAATTTTATTGCAACCTAATTATGCACAATAATAGATAATATGCAATACAGGTGTACAACAATACAGCTAGAAAAATTGAAAATAAATAATGTATCTAAATACAAATTAGAAACATCTCATGATAGATCATTCCATCTTAAATAAATCAACATTGTTTTGCAGCAATTTTTAATATCAACTTGAGATTTTTTCATTAAAAAGTTGAATAATTTTAACACATTCAATATTATGAATAAAAAACTGAACGTTATATAGTGTCTTTTCAAGACTTAGCATGAACAAAAATTCACAGATTTGGATCCTCCCCACCCCCAATAAAAATATTATGTCAGAATTTGCAAAAACTTTTCATCCCTTAATAGTCAGTTGTACTTAGTATAATTTGTAATATATATAAATGTAGGTAGAAAAAAGCAAATATTGATAAGATATTCAGTCACAAAACACTACCTGGAGCCCCCAATCAGCCTTGCATATTGGGGTTCCAGAGGTAGTATACACTGGCCCTGCCTTAAATATGTCTTTCAATTTACTCAATATTTAATGTGCAGATAATACTAGCAGAATTCCAATAAATGATCTCATAAACTTTGCCTTCACAATAAAATTGGTATTAACCAATTGATGTTTGTTGGATTTTCAGGAAGTGCTTACTTGTTAAATAGACAATGTGAATTCCAACTCCTCTCTTTTTATTCAAAATATTTACAATGACTTATTTGATAATATGAGATTGTATTATGTAACTCAAGAATTGTTCATATTATAAATAAATATATATAACAGGATAGTTGTTGACATTGATTTTTTTTTAAATTTTAAATATATAAATATCGTGATGTTTTGTAAGAAACATGTAAACTTAAAAGAAAAATAAGATATTGTATAAGTATTGAGAAAACAACATTGGAAATTGTAAAGAACAGCAATCAGAGAAGAATAAAACAAAATTGAAAATATTAGAAGATCAAGAAAAAATAACATTGTCTTTAAGAGTGTCACAAAAAGAGATTTGAGAAAAATTAAGAGTAGTAAGCAAGAATTGTACTATCACATGATTAGAATCATACAGATGGCAGTTGACATCCTGAAGTACATTATTCTACATATCTTGCATTTGATGATACAATGCAGCAAGGTTTGTAGGTGGGCTGAGTCAGGCATCATCCCATCATGTCCCATACAGTATAATGGGGAACAGGTCTGGTGATCATACCAGCCAGGAAGTTTCTAGAACATGTTGCAGAGCAAGTTAAGATGTGTGGGCATCATTTGGGCAAGCATTATTATGCTTGAACAGCATATCACCTTTATGTTGTAGAAATAGTATAGTAGAAGGTTCTGGGCACACAGAGTTGTATTCAACATTCTGTCTATAAATGCCAAAGGGAAGTGCTTGTTTTAACTTATAACACCCAGCACAATAATAATGAGCCTGTATGTTATGAGTGAATACACATTGGAAGATAACACTTTCCAAGTCTACATTATACGTGCAAACAGCTGTTAATTACATCAAGACAGAACCTGTTCCCATCACTGAACACTACAGAGTACTACTCAATCCTCAGGTGACATCAGGCTTACAGCCACATCACATTAAAACAGGTTTCTATATGATCATTGAAGTTAAGCAATATTAAGCTTGGTCAGTACATAGATGAGTGACTGCTTGGGAATACCAGGTGCTGTAAGCTTGGATGTGCAGGTGGTGTAATGGATATGGCTTGGAATTGTTAATCAGAGAGCCAAGTTTCAATTCTTGTTGGTTTGTTATATTCACTTATGCACAGAAACCCTTGGGAAATGTATGAATCCACTTTTCTCCCCCAGCTATGGATTAATTAGTAAGATTCATATCATTAAACCATTATTATTTTCCTCCCAAAATTCTTACAATCTAAAGAAATATTTTCTGGCAAATAGGGTAAAAAACAAATCAGTCTTCTCATGACATCACTGGGGACATGCGTGGTGTTGTACTATAGGTGAAATTTGGTTAGACATACACATGCCCATAGTTTTACTGCAAATAAACAATTTTCAATTGTCTCTTGACACTTCTAGAACTACATTTGCTCTTATCAGTAACTGTGGACATCATGTGATCTGCTATTACTGTTCTTACAATGGATCTGTTTTGGCAAATGTCTGTACTACATTGCCATCTAGAACCTAGAAATGTTCTTTTGACCACTGTTACTAACATCAAAGCACTGCCAATGTGTCATTTCTAACATGCATAGCAATTCTCTGAAATGACCATCCACCTGCTTGAAGACCCACAATTCATCTCCTGTCAATGGCTCAAATTAAACAAAAGGAATTTTCACATCTCCATGGTATGACAACTGATTGCACTGGTTTATTTCATCATACAGAATCATATTGCAGTATGCATCACTATTGTTAGTAGACACTGTAAAGATATAAATGCTAGTACATCACAAGGTGGCTAATGGTTTAAAAAATTTATAAGAATATGAACTAATTCCCATGCAATACCACAGTTGAAATTGGTATTGTCCTTCAGGGTGTTGCAATTTTATTTTGACAGTGTAATATTTTTAAGCTTCCTTTAAGCCCAATTAATAATTCCTTTAAACATTTACCATGTTTATTTTTTATTTCAGTCTTGCTGTTTCAGTAAAAATGAATATTCTGTTATTTTCGCCTGGTCTGCTGATATTGTTGCTTGCCAGGCATACACCATTGAAAACTATCCTTTATTTGATCATCTGTGCCATACCACAGGTCAGTTAAGTACTCATTTAAAAAATATATTTGTTTACTGAATTTCAATTTTCACTTTCATCATTCTGTCCAAGTTGCTTTGTTAAAAAATGCACAAAAATGGTTCGAATCCAACAAATATTTCGAGATTGGAGGTATCAAAAACAATTGCTTTGTAGATGGAGTATTCATCATACAAAATGAACGCTTGATAATAGTTCTGAAGCTTAATGATGAAAAAATGTATTTATTTTATACAACAAATAATCTCTTTTCTTGTCAATACACCTAAAGATATGAACATTTACTTGTTCCATGGCTTATTCGCTTTTTTAATTATTATTCAATTCATAATGCTTAGTTCAACCTGATCCACATTTCAGTTGTTAACTGTCCTCATATTTAGCTTTAAATGAGGCCAAATTTGAATTCCTGTTGGGATTTTTTTTATATGTAGTGTGTGTGGGGGTGGGGTCTTTTTATCATGTCAGCTAGTATGACTTACAGGAGAGCTAGAGGATAGACTCTGGCAAATCTGTTTAATATTTTCTGGTTGGAGCCATTCTGCACAATACTGTCTCTTGCTTGTAAATCAAAATATCATTCAAAATGAGAACTATCGCCATAAATACATGGTTTGCTATGATGTTTCAAGCTTTGTCTTTGAACTCTTTTTTTTAAGATTTTTATTGTATGTCATGGTCAGCAGAAGACAAAATTGAGTGAAATTAAGGCTCACAAATATACATTCCTCTTGAAAACTCCTTTATTGACCAGCAATTCAATTCCTTTATCTGAGTTCATCTCCTGTATAGTTAACTCATATGTTTCCAGTCTGGCTCTGCTGTTCTCTGCTAAATTCAAGTGCACGGCAATAGCTCATTTACTTTTTGGTGAGTTTGTATAGAGTCTGTAATTCCAAATGTGTTTTCAACATCTCATAATCTGCTGCCACGTAGATACAAAATCCAAAATCCAAAAGAAGGGAATAGCAACAGCAATTTCTTGTTTAAATTCACAAGGCTTCACTGTATCACCTGATACATAAACTGACAAAGTAGAAATTGGCAGAACTTCAGCTCTAGGATTGAACCACTTTTTGCCAACAGGGGTAGCAAGTTTCCTGCTGCTGATTTAAAAGCAATTAGCTTCTATGTAGATCTAATAATTAACATCCAACTCTTTTATTGCCATTTGAATTTTTCTGTAAGAGAAATTATGAACAATTATTTTGCTTATGGGATCTAAGAAGACAAAATTTCCATGTGGTAATGTGTTACTTCATGCAATACAGCAATGTTCGGTTTATTTAAGTTCATTGGAGAAAATGATTTTTAGATACTTTAAACATTAAATGTGTGCTATAAAAAAACTTGAGAAGCTAATGTTAACCAATTTGTAAATCATAAGATAACCATAACAAAACATTTAGAAATATTATGACTAATGCTTACCCATGCTGTTATTTTGTCAAAGCAGTGCTTAAGTGATTTTATAATTGTATTGTACTTATAAAATATTAAAATCTTTTCTTGAATTTTTTGTTCATGTTCAATATTTCCTGACTCTTCAGCGTATCAAATAACATTCATTGAATGAATTGATTTCTATGTCAACAGTAAAATACTGATGAGAATTTGTGTAGAATAAAAATGTAAAAATGTGTGTGCGCGCACACACACACACACACACACACTCACACATATATATATATATACATACTGGGTGTAAGAGCAAAATTGTCCAAGTTGTGTAACAGCATAATTATCCATACCACAAAATGTTTAATATCTAAAAAACCACTAAACTAATTGAGTCTCTTTCTTCCAGATTTTCAGATAAGACATTTAGCCATCTTGGCACAATTTGTTGTAAGAATCACTGAAAAACCCTTAGAGTTATTCACCTAGAAAAAAACAGGTTAAAATTGTTTTGTGTCAGTCCCACTGTCTTCCTAACTGGGCAAAGGTGAGAGGAAAAAGATCATTCAGGCCTTCAGTAATGGCACCAACATTCATATTCTGGCTTCCATCTTCAAAGTCCATTCAAGAACCATCAAGAGAACAGTAAATATGTTTAAAAAAGAGAGAACAGTAGAGAGGAAAACTGAACCAGGAGGTCATGACAGCAAGCGGGATCATTATTTCACCTTAGAGCTAAAGAAAAAAATTAGAAAAGATCCAACTCAATTCATAAGACATTTGGCATGTGAGAGAGGAGTTTCAGCTATGACAGTCCAAAGAGCAATGAAAAAAGACTTGAAAATGAAATCATATGTGGAACCTGTGAGGCCCCTTGTAACTTCAGGATAGAAGGTTAGAAAGAGTGAAGATCATCAAGTTGGAAATGGTCCTAGAATAATATATATATATATTTGAACTTTATTTCAATCCTTCATGAGCTTCCAATCCCTAGCTATGATTAATTAATGATGAATATGTCATTTTCGTTTATGATTGATTTCATCATGATTCTACTGTTAAACTTGGAGAGTAATTATACATTATAGAGCCCAATATTTTTATAAAAACCCCAGACAATTCCAGTAAGATATCTTTAATCATTTTTAAGCTACAACAGTTCAAAGCTTAATCTAAGAATTGGACAATTTTGCTGCTACATGATTTGGACAATTTTGCTCTTACACCCTCTGTGTGTGTGTGCGTGCCTCTGTGTGTGTGTATATATATATATATATATATATATAGAGACACACACACACACACTGCATTTTGTGAATTTGATGAGACAAAGTTTTATTAACATGTCCTGCCTGAACATCTGCTGTTTTTTGGCTTCTTGAGGTTAGAATGAAAGGAAGACACAACTGTATGTGACAGAAAATTCCTTGTGATCTCTATTTTATATATGTGGAATATTATTTAACTATTAACTCTGTTATACATTTTACAATCTAACACCATGCAATTCAGTAAGCAATTGAAATTTATTAAAAGTAAAAATATCCATTTATGTTGAAAATTTTTTAATTCTTAATCTAGCAATTCCCGAAAAGGACAAAATTGGTTTATAAACTCAGTATTCTACAATTATTTAAAAATATTGAGTCCACCAAGTTTTTACTATTAGAAATGTGACTAAATAGTTTCACTTTTAAGAAATACAAGTATTTTGTAATTTCCATTTAAGACTGATTTACAAAAGCCATTATACTAGTTTTACATTATTATTACTAATAATAATAAGTAGTAATCAGAAACTGTAATATTTGGGTTTACTATCTTTGAAAGAAGACACTCTCTTACTGTTTGAAAAGATAAGTAAATTGAACATAGACAATTGTATTTTACTTTAGATAAAACAATTATAAATTTGTTTCAGGTTGTTTTAGCTATTCCATTTCTTCTTGTCAACCCACTTGGATATTTGATGCGATCATTTGACATTGGGCGCCAGTTCCTCTTCAAATGGACAGTCAACTGGAGATTCCTCCCAATTGAGATCTTTGAAAATCGTTTCTTCCATATTGGGCTCCTGCTGTTCCATATCTCCATTTTGGTTTTGTTTACTTTTTGCCGTTGGAAAAAGTAAGAATTCTCTTTCTTTTTTTTTGTGTGTGTGTATGCCTGGCTGCATAAGATTAATAACTTATATCCTTATATGGTATGATATTAAGGTAATTTTTTTTTTTTCAATTAAATCATTAAAATAAAAGTTAAATGATAATGTCTGTAAAGGAGAAATTGAGAATTTAATGTCTTGTATTTATTACATTCCTAATGAATGATAAATAATGCTATTACTTACATTTTCTTTTTAATCATTTCACCCCAAGCAAGGCAGGAATCTCACCAGTATGTAGGAGGTTACTGAGAGTAAAGGTGAGAGAAAAAACTGGGTACAGGGAGGACTGAGGAAAGAATAAAAGCTGAACAGGGCTCAAGAAGATAGATGATGATTGATGTTGCATTTAAATTTTTGAAGGTCGTAGTTATCAAGGAAGTGGAAGGGAGTTCCACAGGCGGACAATGCAAGAAAAGAAACTATTGAAGTAGAAATGGTGGTTACATTTAACTAATTCAATGCTAAAAGGGTGGGAACTAGATGCCAATCTAATAGCACACTTAAACTCACGTAGTTCGGGCTCCAGGGATAAAAGCTCATCAGAGCAATAGCCATGAAAATATTTGTAGAAAAGACAGAGCGAAGCCATGTTACATCAGTGAGAAAGAGACTGAAGTAGAGATACCAAGTCATGATCAGTTACATTGCAGATCCTTCTTTGGATTTTGTCAAGAACCTCGAGATGAGTAGCAGGAGCATCTGACCAAATATGGCACAGATGAATGGTAGATTTGTAAATGTGCAAGATTGACTCTGATAAAAAACCTTCTGGCACAACAAAATAACCCAACTTTCCTTGCATTAGATGCAGCTATTGATTTGATGTGGTCATTCAACTTCAAGTCAGTTGAAAACATGAGGCCAAGTAGGCACAGTGTTTTGCTCTTCATTAGTCTAGCATCAGCCATGATGGTAGGAAGAAAAGGTTTTCTATGGCGGTTAAATGAGAGCAGTTTCGTTTTGGAGGCATTTTTGTTTTAATTACTTTTGATAAAATAAAATCTGGCATACAGTTATTCCTATTGTGTTCTTTTTCAAGTTGATAGTCAACTGGAGATTCCTTGTTTTAAATTTTTTAAAAACCACATTTCCATGTTAGTTTCCCTCTTGTTCCATATCTCAATTTTGGTTTTTATTTACCTTTTACCAGTGGAAATAGTAACAATTTATTGTTTGTGGATGTGGACATTGGATTAATGACTATTTCTTAACCCCCACCTACCCCTCAATAAATTTCTACTGCATATTGCAGTCTACAAGTCCAGTTTGCATGCCTAGTGCCAAAACCTTATTTTTTTTCTCATAGAAATATTAAAAAATCAGCAATGGGATCTTGCGAAGCACCCCATGAAATATCTTGTTATGGGTACAGAATATGCAATGATCTTCTTTTAATTTCTGTCAAAATTTTTTACATTCAGAATTATCACTATTACATATCTTTCCATTTGAACTAGTATATTCATCTTGGATGCTCACGTTTCAGTTGTACATTCTGGCCATCTTCAGACATGTCATACTAACCTTCTTAGAATTTTGAATCAAACCCTTTATTCAACTCAATTCACAGTAGCATATTCTTCTCATTTTGCTTAAAAGTTACCTCTTATCATTTAATACTGTTTAGTCTATTCACTTTTGTATTACTTGTCCATTTCCTATACTCAACTAGGCTCTTCCACACTACCTAACCCAGAGATTGATCTCTTAACTGCCAGAAAATCAGATATATTTTAACCAATGCTTTAATTTTTCTAGTCTATATGGATGCTTAATTTTTTTGGAGTATTAAACTTAATGTCTCAGATAGTGGAATTTTTGTACTTTTTTTTTGATCAGTCTCATCTTTATGCTAGGCCTGTTTATGAGGTTTTCTGTACCTGATATGTGGTGCTGATTTTTTCACTCATCCTCTAGCATCTATGACCTTGATTTCATTCCACAGGGATTGATGACCACCCTTCATACATCAAGGAATCCAAATGAAATCAGATATCTCCTTAAAACTAAGGATAGAGGATCATCAAAAGACCATCATCTAGGGAGTGACACTGAAATCTGGCATAGCTGATCATGTAGTAAGAATGGAAAAGGCATATAATAATTTATTTTCCTCCCTGACACCCTGCATAAATTTAGGAAATTAAAGTTGAACATTTTTTTTACTAAATGTTTGAGAAAAGAAGCCTCATTGAAGCTGTTATAAATTTCCCTTTACCTAAATAGCTTTGTAGTTGTAAAGTGTGTATGATATGCATATTCTGGAAAATATTTTAACTAACAAACTAGTCCATTTTTTTAATATCTTGATTTTAACCTCCTCAAAACATTTAATGTTTAATGACTAATAAACTTAGTATCAGTGAAAAGGTACTGTAAACTTGGAGGTGTGGGTTATGTAATGGATAATGACTCAGATTTGAAAATCAGAGTTGAATTCCAATTAGGTTTGTTATATTCGCTTACGTGCAAGTACCCCTTGGAAAGGTATGAATCCACCTCTTCTCTCCCTGGCTATAGGTTAATTAGTAGGATTTGTATCCATAAATCATTATCATCTCCAAAAACTTTTTACAATCTAGAAATATTTGCTGGCTTTAGATAACCTGCAAATGGTTGATAAGCCATAAAAAAACAAAAAACAACAAATTGATTAATCCAACCTAGGAGGAGGGTATCTGTGCATTTAATCTAAGATCTAAGTGTTTTTCCCCAGTCATCTTCCTAGGATTAGTGTACTAACTGCTGTAGTATTTGCTGTTTATTCTTTGTACTTATTTTCAAAATTACTTTTTCTTTTTCAGTTTGTTGCCAACCTTGAATTTATCATTGAGTCCAAAGAAAGAAAGCAAAAATCTGGGACCTTCTCATATCTTTTCATTTGCTCTTTTTTATTTTTTTCTGTGCTGATGTTGCAATTCTCTCTGTAGTCATTTGTATTATTCAAACCCCAATGGTGGATTCTGGACAAATCTATGTAGAACCAAATGTAAAATTTTACCATTTAATGTTATCCACATATGATTTTTATTATTATTATTATTGATTATTTTTATCTTGAAATGAGAGACTATAAAACATCTGGTAATGAACTCTTGCTTGTCTTATATATATAAAATTCTAGATTATTTTAATTTTTAAGAAGAAAAAGGCCAAAATAATTATTACTTTTCATAATCTATGACAATACATACTGGCTGGAACTGTGGCCTCAGGGTTGCCCACTAGAAGTGCATGCAGGGATACCTATCCATGCATAACATAGCACTGCAAATATGCCAATATTATGTGATTGTTGGGCAGAGCAGCCTTTCTAAGCTCTACCAGAGTTCAGTTTCCTTACCACCAGTTGGGATGCAACAATCTGGAAACTGCCAACTCATTATCCTCAAAAATGAAACGTCGCAGCCACTGATCAATTAGATCACCAAAAAGTTGAGTTAAATTATTAAGGACATAGAAGAAAGGAGCCAGTAAACCACATTCTAAACAGAAAACATCTACACCTGTTCAATAAACATGGAAGAAGCATGGGCAGAGCAGTAGGCGAACATACCTATCTAGATGTTTCAATGCAGAAGTTGAATGCCACAGTGCATTACTTAAAACATTCACAAGAAGCAATAATAATAAAAAAAAATGTAAGAAAATTATATAGACTATACACTCATCCTAAAGAAATTATGAATTCTAATATATTTGTAAACTAATTTGAAATTAGTTTTTTTTTTTTTATGTATTGAGAAAACTGATTTTTCATCCTAAAAGGCAACCTGCTGTTTGCACAGATTAATTACCCTAATTTTCAAAATGAATTTCTTTTAACAACAGATTTGACTCCTTAAATTCCAGAAAATAGTAATAACATATCAAAGTTTAGTTTCAGTTGAATGTACCTTTTTAACTCATTATTTTTTATCATTCCCTCTAGTTAAAAAAAAAAAAAAAATTCTTCCTTAACATGATCCACAGATAGTTATTCCACTTTTCACCTCCAACTTTATTGGGATGTGCTTTAGTCGTTCACTACACTATCAGTTTTATGTGTGGTACTTCCACACACTACATTACCTGGTCTTTGCTACAACCATGCCAACAGTTTTCAAGTAAGTACACTCATTTCCACTTCACAATAGTTGTCTCTCTGTGATCTCATGTATCAAAAGTTCAAAATGGTAACTTTTGTATAAATAGTCAAGTACTAACTTAAAAATTTTCTCCATATAAAATATAACAATTTTAGTAAGTGTTGAATTTATTTTTAATACCAAAATAACTGAACAATAGTTACCAAATTATAAGAATAAAGCATAATTTTATAATTACATTTTAATATGTAAAATGTTCTAACCAAAAATATTTTGCATTTTATTTTTTTAAGTAGTCGAGTAATTCAGGATGATGTTATTAGAAATAGTATCTATTCTGTAATATTAAACATTATATATTACATTATTAAGTGACTTCATATTTATTGGTGAACAACTACATTTTACCTATTTACTAATGAGATATTTCGTTTTTATGGTATCAGAAAGCATTACTCAACACCAATAATCAAATATTCCTTATGTTGCCATATCTCATTAGTATGTAGTGAAAATGGGTTGTTAATAATTGTATTTATTTGTGTTTGCTTTGGCTATTTTTACTTTTAATGATTTAAAAAGCAGAATTCTTTTTTACATATGATAATAGAGTTAATTGCATAGATTAAATCATAGATTACTCAATTGAAAAATTGCTTAAATATTGCCATCATTTTTTGGGGGGTGGGTAGTATAAGTAAACCAGTTGTAGCATGATCAATAAATGATTTTACAAGCATTTTTCACCAGTAAACCAATAATTTATAGCAAATTTGTGCTGACAACAAAAAAAAATCACCTTAGTAGTTTTTAAAGTTTCATTTTTATTATAGAAGATATATAATTTAATCAAACTGATAGGACATTTTTTTTAAGAACTTATTTACATGTCTGGTTCATTATTTCATTGCAATTATGGGATGAAAGGAATTAGTGTTTGTTACAGATCAGCCTTCACTGACAGAAATAGTTACTGATGTGAAAGCATGATTTTAGAGATCTAGTTCAATGTGTCTGTCTGTCTTTGTTCATGTTGAAAGATATGCAGTGTTTCTGGTATTGAGTTCCCTCTGTTGATATGTGATCAAAATGATCTATATCACAGTTGTAGTTGGTCTTGTTTTCATATTGGCTACAGATTCCTTTTTGTAGAAAATATGCAATATGGGCTGTAATAAAATTGTTTGATTCAAATAGACCTAATTAAACTACTAAATGTACGGAAATGGTGGTGGCTAGACGCTTATATCTGAGTATGACTGTCTACTAATGCAGCTAACCAATCCGTTATAGATGCTTTCTCAGGCTTATTTGAGTTTGTTCATCACCCACAGAGCCCATCTATGGTCTTATACTGCAACTATGCTGAGCTGACCTTAGTTAGTTTCTAGGAGGAAGTGTAATTATCTGGCATGATCAACAGTCTGAACAAGGCCAGTATGCTCAAACCCTCAGTCATGCTGACTTGTAACTTTGTGCTAGCACAACCATCAACAACTCCTAAATAGTTCTGTCTATCCAGTTTCATTCACAAGGCTTGGATCAAACTGTGGTATGGTTTTCAGGCACTTTCCAAAGGTTCTGCATACTGGAATTGCCTCCCCAAGTCAATAACATCAAGAAGTCACTTTCCTGATAAACTGACCAGGATGAGATTCAAACCCACATCTCATGTACATTATTTGGACTATTGTCCTCATCTTTGTCACCATATTTATTACAATGTTTCGGCCGTTGTACTCTCCAGCCTTCTTCAGGTGGTTGGAATGTCGAACTGAACCCTTTATTTTGCTCACTGGGGTAGACTGTTCTAGTTCCACGTGCCATGTTTAATGGTTGTCAGTTATCTCCTGTTAATTTCCCTCTGAAAGTTCTCACACTCTTTGGGTCCTGTCACTGGATCTAACTAACGCCTTTATCCACTGTGCCATGTGTCCTTGGCACGTGGAATTAGAACAGTCTACTGCAGTGAGCGAAATAAAGGGTTCAGTTCGACATTCCAACCACCTGAAGAAGGCCGGAGTGTACAATGGCTGAAACGTTGTGATAAATATGGCAACAAGGATGAGGACAATAGTCTGAATAATGTAAATAATGTACATAATACCTCATCTCAAAAATATAGACAGATACCAGATCTCATGGTTTGAAAGCAAATGTTTACCATTCACCCATAATGTACAGAAATAATAAAATATTGGATAGTAAGCAACCCATTATCTAATTCAGTTATTACATCTATTTAACTCTTAACTCCCTTCAGCAACAACATTTTTTTTTTTATTGATGCCTGTTGGCTAAGAGAAAACTAGTGATTAAATATCATTGCAGCAAAGTAGATAATTACTGTTGGAAGTGTGTGTTTTTTGTTAAATTATATATTAAAAAAAACAACAAAAAACAAGGATGTTATATAAATAATATGACTAGATACTTAATGGGAAAACATTTACTTCCTTTGATACAGAACATGTTAGGTATAATTAGAAATTGAGTGAGGTTATGATTCTCATCTACATTGATGTAGCTTGAAACAGAAATACACTGTAGATGACAGGCAAAGCAAATCCCTTCTATTTAATAAAATAAAGTTCTATTTGAAACTTGTGGTTGATAATTAGATATAACAGACTTCAGGAAGGACAGATAATGTATTGCCCCAAAACAATGGAATGAAAACAACAGAGCTAAAAATATCAGTCCAAATAATTCATGAAAATAATTTTTCAATACTTTTTTAACATAATTTTGTAATTCATTGCCTAATAGGTTTGATTTTAATTTGTAATTTCTTTTTGAACAAAATGTCAAATGACTGTCCAATGATGCAACAAGTTTTGTTCTTTTTTTTCTACTTTTCAGTTGTGATTTTAGTCATGTAATTCTTATTCATCAACAGTTAAGTTTGTTATGTGCTCATATTTGCTTTTGTTACTGAGGCAGTGATAGGAGCATTTAATGGTGAGATTAGCTGTTTCCTTATAAGGAAACATTTAGTATATCAGTCAGGTTTTATAAATTTCAGCTGACAGTAATACCATCTTAAAGCAATTTTTCAGAATACACTTCTTAAGTTTACGGTCATCCCTCTTTTTAGGATTGATGTGAGTTTCCTTCATAACCTTTTACTTATGACCACGTCACGTTGAAACACTAGTTCCCTTACAATCACCAAAGTTAAGCAACATTGAGCCTGGTCAGTACCTAGATGGGTGACTTCTTAGGAATAGCAGGTGCCTAGATGGGTGACTTCTTAGGAATAGCAGGTGCTGTAATGGATAAGAACTCAGAATTTTTAATTGGAGAGCCAAATTCCATTTCCTGTTGGTTTTGTTATATTCAGTTATTTGTAAATATCCTTGAAAAGGTATGAATCTATTGATATGGGTTAATTAGTAAGACTTGTATCACTAAACCCTTATCTCCCAAATTCTTACAATCTAAAAATATTTTCTGGCTTTAAATAACCTGCAGAAGGTTGGTAATCTATAGAAAATGAATGAATCAACTTTTTTTTATGATAGTGTGGAAAGTTAACATCTTGATATTTTTAGTTGTTGTTGGAAGTCTTCAAGTGATGTGGCTTTTGTTCTTTGTAGCACCATTCAGAGATTAATACATTCTGAGAAAACAGCTGTATATATATATATATATATAGCTGATAGTTTAAATATTTCAATCTGATGATAGTGAGATCTTTGAAATTGGTACTGATCTTTTCTATCCACTCTTCTGCCTTGTAGTAAAATGACGTTTTATCAGGAAATTGTTAGAAAAATAAAGTGCCTTGTCAAATAATGTCTAAGTCAACATTTTTTTTTTTATATCCCAGATTATAATTTATTAATATATTAGTTAGGTTAAATATTACTGGTCCAGAAAATCATATTTTACTTGAATATTACTAATTTTAAATACAATGAAATGGAAATTTACATAAATTATTCACAGACAAACTTGTTACTTGTTTATTTCAGGTTATTAATTCTTGGTATGACGGAACTATGTTGGAACACTTACCCATCAACCTATTGGAGTAGTGGACTTTTGCACATCTGTCATATGGTCCTGTTGCTGTATTTATGGTTAAGCCCCATCTATTATCCAATGTGCATACATGGAGATATAAACTGTAAATATGGACACAAAACAGCAAAAAAAGAAACTTCTCCAACATCATCTGTCTCCTCTAAATTAAAGAAAAAGTAACTAAAATGTGAAAGAATTTTCCCCATTCTTTATTCTTTGAGAATTGGTTGTGTCTTTGGTGCTACCTGAAATATTTGCAGTGTAATTCCAGAAGTATTTATAACCCAGATTGAATTTTATTGTAAATAAAACATTTTTTATTGAAGCAATTGTTTCTAACTCTAATAACTTTTTCTTAAATTACTTGTATACAAGTTGAACTGAATAATTAATGGCAACCCAATTACATTTCGGTCACAGCTGATCTATCTCTATATTATCATTATTTACCTAAAATGAAAAATTTAACAATACCATTCCCTAAGGCATCTTTTGTAAGTTCTTTCAGATATGAGAAAAGTATTAAAACATTGGTGTTTGATTTGTTTGTAGATAGAGAAAAAAAGTTTATAGCAAAAATTGATAAGGTAAATATTTTTATTTAATGAGTTTCCACCTGTCTCAATGTTTAAGTGATTGTTAAAAGTTTGCCTTATCTTCAGTATCATTTCTACCAGTGTGTAGAAGACATTACAAAGCTTAATTTAGGTAAATCGAAACTGGTAATATTCACCAGACTTAGAGCACTCTGATGCATTGTAATCACTTGTCTTGCTAGATCAATTATGACCGAGTAGTGAGTTCGATCCTCACTGGATGCTCCATACTTTTGGCCTTGTGCTACATTTAGAAAATCACAATATTCACAAGACTTATTTTAACTGTTGAAGTGCAAATGATACCACTTTGGAGAGGGTGTTAATCCTGCAGAAATTTTGTATGTAAAATGCATTCTTTTTTTCTTTATATCTTACTTATTATAAAACGCAGATAGTGTGTGTGCCCATTTATATATATGATCGTATTTCCTACATTTTTCAACCGATTTCAACAAAACTTCACAGGACTATGTAAAATTACCCAGCAGTGGTTCTGACAGCGCCAAAAATTGGAAAAAAACAATTGCTTTTGCACGAAATCAATTTGAAAGCATGGGTAAGGGTATCGCACACGGCCGGAAGTTACTGCCGGCTACTCAAACGTCCGAATGCCGTTAACTTCCAGTGACTCAGCGTTTTTTTTTTCAGAGAATGATACACAAAGTAAAATAAATGAAACAAACATACACAAGTCCTCTTAACTAAAAATAACAACCGGAAACTACTTTAAATACACATGCTGTCCAAATGAAACCCATGTGTACAGTCAAAATGCAGAAGTTAATTTTTAGTCAACCAAAAGATATTGCCAACCGGCTACGATGCTAACTGCAGCCGACATAGACACAGCCGATTTCTTCCACCAAGCAACATGGCTAACTTGGACTCCGGGACGTGCTCCCCCGTCATCTTCACCTGGCCGACCCTCATGGAAAATAAACGTCCACATCTCAAGTAATAATAAAAGCAAAACATGTCAGATTTATAAAGATTTCCTATTTGTCCCTTATCCCATCATTCTCTTGCATTCCTATCTATATTTTATCTTAATTCATATATATATATATATATATATATATATATATATATATAAAAACAGATGCAAACTATGCCTGGAAGAAAAAATTAAAATAATTAAGTACAAAAATACAAGCCAGTTATTGAACCAGAGAAATGAAATTATACTTAAATGTCATCATAAAAATAAGTTTATATAGTCTTAAAAATAGACATTTATTTTGCATCAAACACTGAAAAATATATATTAGTATTGTATATGTGTGTATCTATCTATTACTATTACTTTAAATATATTATATATATAATTTTTTTATTACTATTAAATGATGATGATGATGTTTAAATGAATAACAACATAGATTGCATTTCTGTGATTTTTATTACTTTTATCCATAAAATTTTCCCTTACTGCAATATTCTCAATAAAATCTAAAGTAGGATCTGTAATGTAATCAGTACTGAATTAGCTTCTTGACTTCAGCCGCTTTCTCACAGATGTGATGTGGCTTCCCTCTGTATTTTCTACAAATATTTTTCATGGCTACAGCACTGATGAGCATTTTTTCCCCTGGTGCCCTGACTACATTTCTCCATATTGGAACTCCATTCCTCTCATTTGCTTCCGTGATAACTACAATCATCAAAAACCTACATGCAACATCAGTCACCATGTTTTGTTGCATTGATACCTGTTCTTTTTTCCTTTCTTCAATCCCCCCTACACCCCCTGTGTGATAATGACAATTCTGACTTGCTTGGGGTGAAATGCTTTAAAAAAAAACAAAAACAAAACAAAACAAAAAAAACAAAACATTGAATATAAAATAATTAGGCTACTGACAATAGCATCTACCACAATCAAAGGTAAAGCTCTCCCTACCAGCAGCTAAAATAATAAAAAAGTGCTCAATACAATATATATATATATATATATGTAAATATAAATATAAAAGGCAGGATATGTGTGTGTAACGAATGCACAGCCACAATTTTCGACGGACTTGCACCAAAATTTACATGCACATGCTCCAAGTTAGCGGGAAGGCAAAGACTGACTTTGCATTTCCCAACTCCCATCAATAGTGGAAATAATTGATTTTTTCATGCTTCTACAACAGTTTTCATGTAGTTTGCGGCCATTTTCTACTGGCCAGAGTGAGAGCCTATAGCTGGGTGCCACGAATAGGCAAGAAGATTCTATTGGCCAGCATGAGAGCCAACAGCTGACTGACTGACATGAATATTAACTAGCATGCAAAAAAAAAAAAAAAAAAAAAAAAAAATCGATAGCTGCATTCGTCACAAGTGGGAAAAATTTAAATCTGAGTGGCACTTTACTCCAATTGGCTCATTCGCTTGCTTAAACTCAACGTTGATTCTGATTCCGCAGAACTGGGTTGGGTGTGAAAAAGTATTTGTTGTTAACATTCTTTTTTCATTCGGATCTTCCAGTTACGAGTCCTTTTTTAAAGCTGATCGTTGTGTTCATTTTGCTTAGTTCTTTTTTTTGCAATAGATTTAATGTTTAGTATAGAGCTTAGAAAAAATTTGCAGTGTGAGATAGGCAAGAAGTAAGGCATGTACCAACATCAGCATGGCAAAGGGAACTCCTTTAAAGGCAAGGAAGGGCAAAAATATTTTAAGTCAAGTGATAGCAATTGCTGTATGAGTCGTACGATTTTTGAATCAAGCACGGGCAATGCTGCTAGTCACTTATATAAATGACAACACACTTTTGGAGGGAAGAACCTGATTATATTTAACTTTATTATAAAATTTTAAATTTTTTCTTTTTGTTTAAAAAAAAAACAAAAAAAACATGCACAACACATGAATAGTCTTATTTTCAATGTGGTAAAATATGAAATGATAGAGGTGGAGAAATTGTTTTCAAAATAATTTTTTGTGATGACAGACAAAATATACATACCAGTTTAAGGCTTGTATGCACATACACTATATATGATATACACAGACATTGATGAAATATAAAATTGCAACAACCTGAATGACAATGCTAACATGTACATCCTGGGTACAGTAGATGTTCTGATAATCCTTTTTTCTTATGACATAGTAACACTAATACCAGCTTATAGATGGTGCCACACTCAGATCAGGTTCTGGTACAGATACTTACCAACAGCAACACATTGAAAAGCAATTTACTTTTGGTGGAAATATAAGCGCATCTTCAACAAAATTACTGTGCACATCCCCAGTGGTGCTGTGAGAGTCAACCAGCGATACTGAATGGTGCTATGTTGTATTCAATGATGAGATCAGATTCTATCATTTGACCTAAACCTGAAGAACAACATCTACAAATAATAGGTCCAATTCTGGGCACCATGATATGGAGTGCTAATAGTTACAGCTCCTGCCCACTTTAGCATTTGTAGAGGGAATAATGAGTAACCCATTCTACTGCTGTTATCTTCCATTGAACATGTATAGGACAATGCCCAATGTTTTCAGTTAGTCTAAATAACTCTTGTTGCATTGCGTCAGCAAGTACAAGTAATATAGAATAATATATTACAAGACAGTATTTTCCATGTGTATCGTATGCATGTGAGAATATATAATATAAGGAAGATATACATTGTATTAATAAGATCTAAGGACTGTTGATACACCCCTTTATTTTAGAACTTGTACACATATTGATCTATATATGCAATCATTTATTGTAATTCTGCTACATTATGTGTTTAATCCTGAGTAAATTAAAAAATATTCAAGATGTTGCAATTTTATTTTCTCTCTCACACAAAATTAGAGAGAGAGAAACACACACACACAGACAAAACATAAAATTGATTTATAGAAAAATTTCCTTCCAGTCTGCATAAAATTATCACAAACTTAAAATCTATTTTCTTCATTGATTATTCCTTTTAAAAAGGGGAAAAAATGATTACAATAAAAACAGTCTTGTGTGGTGGTATAAGCAATTTTTAAAAAATATATATCCAGTTATTGAGTGTATATGAAAATTGAAACTTTCAGGTCACTCACTGTAAATGGCTGTCTAATTTGTTCAAATTTCAAAAATCAATACATGATTGTTTCACATTCATAGTCAGTGTTTTATTATTTTCAGTTATTTATGTAGTTTTCAATCATGTCATTTCCATTTTTTGAGAGTAGAATAAAAACAAAAATTACCAAAATAAGAAATTGCATTTCAATATTAATATCAAAGCTCACCATTCAGCCATAAGATTTTGAAATGAATGATAGTTACCAATTGCATCTCTTTGGCAATTTTCTTTGTTTTTTTTTAGTTTTGTGTTAACACTTGCATATAGTTAAACATTATCATGACTTTTTAGTACCTATAATTGATACTTAATTGTCGTCACATTGATAGAATCAAAAAATATTTTAACAGATATTATTCATTATAAATATAGTGAAGGCTTCAAATAGAAATATACATAATTTAGCAGAGTCATGTCAATTTCTCTTTAGGATTTTTAATAGGCAGGGACATAGGAAAACAATCAACCCCAATTAAAATCAACTTCACACTGTATAAAAAACTTATCTATATTAAGAAAAAAAAAATGCTGAGATGGGGGGTGGCTATTTTAAAGAGGACAAATTATACAATATTTTACAAAAAAATAATCTGCAGCATTATTTAGGAACAAAGTTACAATAAGAAAAATTTGTGCAAAAAGTCAATTTATGTGACATCACCACAATTGACAATATTTTTCATTTTTCTAGATTTCACACCCATACAAAGATTTAAATTATGCAAGTTCATACTGAATCCTTAAAGTTAATGTGAAAATTATTTTCTGGCAGAAAATTTGCTACATTTTTTTAATGTTAACATAAATTTTTGTATATTTTGTTATATTAGAAAATAATGAAAAATACCTAGGCCTGATTTAAAAAAAAATTTTATGATATTTACAAAAAATATTTTCCACTTTACTTCTTCACAGAGAAATTGAATTATGTATATTAAAACAAACTTTAGCTTTGACAATATTTTTTTGTTTCATCAGAATATACTGGAAAGAGATATACAGAAAACTATACATTTTTTTCCATAAGATATTCTATAATTAAAAGCTTATCCCCTTTTTAATATTTAGGAAAAAAAATCCAAATAAAAATATTTGAAAATTATCCAAAACTAATGAAGGAAGGTATTTGATGTTAAAATATTTTCTGAAAGTTTTTTTTTTTTTTAAATTTTTTTTATTGCAAGAGTCTTGTAAATCTTATAAATACTGTTTAAATCTGTAATGAAATGTCTGTTTAGCTTATGTGCATGTGTACAAAGTAGGATATATTGCTTTATAATTATCTAAAAATTCTTGTAAATGATGTATGCTGCAATTATACACATTTTTTATTCACAACCTCATATTGATGGGCAAGATATTTCCCCACTAATTACTTAAAACTGTGATTTAAAATCAAAAGTTAAAATGAAAATCGAATTGGACTGGTAGCAAATTTTGCTTAAATTCTCGTAAATTAGCTTACTACTTATTTTTTAAATTCATTCTTTTATAAGAACTTAATTTTCATGAATTCATATATTTCTATATCATATCCTAAGACAGTTGCATTTTTGTATCCATACTTAGGAAAGTAATTAAAATGCATTGCTTATTTAAATTAAGCAATGAATATTTTGAACAATATTCTTAGTGTTCAGGTATGAATGCTTGTTCAGTTAATCAGCTTGAACATTTTTCATTTTAGTAGATACAGTAAATTCATTATATAATAAATAGTGAATAGCTTATAAATGTATGTGTATTAAATAATTAGTGGATTTGCAGTTACACATTATCTAATTCTAAAGCTGTAATAAGATATATAAGCTCTATTTATCTGTGAGAAATAGAGAAAAAGTTATTTCTAATTGGATCATGTATATTGAAGAGAATGGAAAGAGTTTTTCCAAAGGAATTAAATTAAACTGTGTCTTAAAAATACTGGGAATTTTTATAAATTTTTACATTGCTGATGTTCTCATATATGCACACAAGATTCTGGTAGGAAAAAAAAAAAAAAAAAAGAAAATCTGTAGCAGTCATAGATCAAGCACCAAAGACTGCTTAGTCAAATTACAACAGAATGTTTTCATTCATGTTGCTTTAAATAGACAATATAATGGAGATAATCTTTAAAAATAAAAGTTTGGTTCATTCATACATTCATTCATTGTCTTTCTCACTTTTCTTTCTTCATCTGACAACGTTGTGCCTACTGGTTCAAGTTTGGTTGGTTGCTGATCTGTTGAAGAACTCCAACTACAAGTTCTTTTAAATTCTGAAAAAAAAAAAAAAAAAAAAATATTATGAATAATTAGACAAAGAAAAAAACATACAACATTCTTTTCAGCAGATGAATATACAGAATGTACATAATAAATAATCATCCATAATAAACATTTCTCTTGAAGCAAATAAAATATTCTGCTTCCTAACATTCATTTCTTAAAAGTAAATTTTGTATTCCTTAAAAATAATTTAGTCTTGTGACATGCAGGAAGCACATTTTCTAGAAACCAAAGTGAGGTGTTGCTTATAGTTATATATGTATTTACTCAGTTCAGCCCCAGGCCAAAAATCTTTCAAGTGAGTTGGGCTTGCTTGTCTTAAAAATCAGTATTCAAAATCTTGAGCTTAGACACTGATATTTGTAGGAAATATGCTACTAAATGATTGAGCAAGCCAATATTTACCAATATTTGCTTAATCTAGCATGGAGCATCTTGTGAGGATCAAACACATGTTAACAAATGATCTGCAAGAATAGCTAGCTAACCATTGATATATAGTCAGTACCACATTATATATATCTCTCAGGTATGTGGTGCAGTTTAATTTACATTACATGAATCATTCATACAAATAACAGATATAGAAGTTAATGATATAAATGGCGAGAATACATCTTTGCAAACAAATTTAATAAAGTACATTAACCCCGAACCTGTAGATGAATGTTATGATCTCTGTTTATAAATTCCAGTTGCATAAGGTCTTTTTTAGTTTTTTTACAAGCTTTCATCTGTTCATACAGTCATCATCAGGTATGGAAATAGATTTGTTTTTGTTTTTTACTTCTCGGTAATAACAGGACAACTAAAATATAGATGTAATCCGAAAAATGTTTTTAGAAATGTGTTATTGTTAATTGTAAGAAATTTTTTTTTTTTTTGGAGCGTGCAGTCGCAACACTGAGGTTGAATTTTTAAATTTTAAGATACCTGATGATGTCATTAACTTCTATATCTGTTTTTTGTATGAATGATTCATGTAATGTAATATATATATATATATATATATATATATATATATATAGATAATATTAGTGGTAAATATACACATACATATGCAAAATATATAAATATATATACCTAGGTGCATACACATACATGTATATTTTTTTAATAAAAATTCCAAGAGGATAGAATCCAGGTAGAACTCAATGTCCAGGACAGAGTAAGCTTTTTTATTATATATATATATATATATATATATATATTTTATATATATATATATATATATATATATATTTTATGTATCCTTCTTTTATGCACATTTCATTGAAAACGACAGACAAGGTGCTTTTATTTAGCTTTTTATACAATTTCTCATGCAATCTAATATTTTTTTTCTTTTTGGATGATAAATTATATAAAAACTGTTCAAATGTTCTTTTTATCCAAGCGCTTTGGCTATACATTTAGCCATTTTCAAGGATTATATTTTAACTGTTAAAATTAGAAATAGTTTGTTGTATGTATGTTTTATAAAATGTTTTCATTTTTTTTGTTTCAAAAACACAGTCAAGATATTATGTCCATGTTCAAAGTTAATATTATTAAGTGTTGGTTTGTTTGTTTTTATTAATAAGGCTTTCATTATTTTTAGCCTTTTTTTGCATGTAGATGATGCTATTATATTAGTGTTGTCGACAAGTATGTTCCGAATAGTGTCCGGTAGGTTTCCATGAATATTTAAATGAGATCTAATTGAGCTATTGTCAGAAAGGTATAGAGTTAGTCTGCATGTCAAACATGTTGTAGTATGGCCTATATAATTATTTATGAATTTTGATTGATGAGGAATACAATTCCTTAATGGGCATTTAAATTTGTAAATAATATTTGCCCTATTTAATTTTGTTCTAGGAGGTGAATTATTATTTTTTAACTATAAGGTTAGAGGTTTTAAATTTTTTATAATAAATAATTAATCTATTTTTTTTTGCTATTGTCAACTGGTGTTATGCATTTTTTATAATGTTCTTAATTCTGCATTCATCCTGTTTATAATTTTTGTTCATCTGATTTTTATAAAATATATTAATATTATTGTTTATGTTTCTATTCTTGCCGTTGCTATTAGCTACCTTAGACAAGAAATGCCTAAAGTGGAAATCCAACAATTGATTAGGAAATCCGTTATTAATCAGCATTTGCTTTACATTTTTTAATTCTTTAAAGAAAAGTGTCTGAGAGGATGAGTTCTTGTGCGTTCTCGTGAGAAAATTTTTAATAACACCTATTTTATATCTAAGAGGGCATTCACTAGAGAAATTAAGATGGCAAGAGTCCTTACTAGTTGGTTTTTTATAAACAGAAGTTTTAAAACTATTATTACTAAAATCGATGAGAACATCTAAGAAAGGAAGTTTATTTTTTTTTCACTAAGTTCATAAGAAAAATTTAGGACGGAATTTTGTTGAAATGTAGTTTTCAGATTTTCTATTTCTTTTTTGTTTTCAGCCAAAATAAAAATATTGTCTACATAATGAACATATATTTCAGGTTTAATAACTTTAGTAAAAACCTTGTTTTCAACATAGGACATATAATAATCGGAGAAGCATGTCCCGAGAGGGTTTCCCATACTTACTCCATCAGTTTGTGTGTAAATAGTACCATTCTGGCTATAAAAAGGAACTCTAGTAGTGCAAGCGAGCAAGTTTTCTTAAAATATTGTTGGATTGATGGAAGTGGAATTAAATTGTGTATATATATATATATATATATATATATACATACACACACAAAAGTATATAATTGGTGTATACGGAATGAATTCCAATAAACAACAATTACTATTCTTAAAAGAGTGCTCAATACAAAGTAGAGCAGATATAATTATTTTTTATAAAAAAAAAAAATTTATAACATAAATATGTTATAAAATCACTACAAAAATAGCCATTTTGTTTCAACACCCTCGGTGTCTTATCAAGTGATGATGTTGAAGATAAAATAAATGGTTTTAAAAGTTTCAAATTAATTAACGATCCTTCGCTAGGGGAAAACATTGTTACAAAAGCTAGAATGACCAATCAAAACCCAAGTATAGGAAGATTCAAAAGCTTGACAATGAAATCATGTTATAATAGCTATTCAGATTTTAAAATACAGGTAATATTAAAAAGAATTCATTCTAACCAATAATTATTAAATTATATGATAAAATTTGATATTAAAATTAAAAACTGCCAATCTTAAAAGCCAAATTTAATCACTATTAAGTTTAAAAACTATAAAATTACTGAGGAGAAAAGAAAAAAAATACATGTTATTCAATTCATTACTTCGTTGAAATTACATTAGAACAGACATTACAATATCCGGTACATTATACATGTATATATATTTTAATCCAAAGTGTGTGAATGGGGTCTCACGTGCAAAACAACAAAAACACAATCAGATTATAATACATAAGCACCCAGACATATTTAGATATATATACACACAAAAAAGCGACAAGACAGGAACATCTCCACAGCCATTTATGAAAAAAGGAAACGGGGAAACCAACACCTACACACACACACACACGTCATTAATAGCACACAACCGTCAATAATAGCACATTCTCAAAAAAAACATCTTTCGGTCTACAAACAATTATTTCGTTTTCAAGTTTTTGATTTTATAAGGAAAAGATATGCCTGACGATGAATAAAGGATTATTCGAAAGTACTTGCATTTTAAAAAAATATAAACTGGAAACAATAGACAACAGTTTTATGAATGAGGATCACATTACTCTATGGATTAACAGTATTTTAATGCATACATTATACACTACTAGCAATGGATGTCGCCAATAATAGCATTAATATTGCTGATTGATTCTATGTGTGATTGTTTCTTTCTATATAAATTATATGTTGCCTAATATATATATGTAAAAACAAAAAAAAAAAAAAACATATAAATACACTTATATACAAATCTACACATTCTGCAGTACAAACACACAAACCTACACACAAATAAATATATACACATATACACCAACACGAATAACACTATGTAGGTAAACAATACACATTCATATCGTCAGGATGACCATCAGGCAATAAAAGTACTAATCTATTAAAATTACAGGATCAAAGGATCGTTAATTAATTTGAAACTTTTAAAACCATTTATTTTATCTTCAACATCATCACTTGATAAGACACCGAGGGTGTTGAAACAAAATGGCTATTTTTGTAGTGATTTTATAACATATTTATGTTATAAATTTATTTTTTTTTTTATAAAAAATAATTATATATATATATATATATATATATATATAAATAAAAGGTTTGCTTTCTGACCATAGGACTCGGGACTGAATCTCACCATGGTTGATTTGTCAGGAAGGAGACTTCCAGATGTTATCTGTCTGGAGGGGGATGATCCTAGCATGTGACACCTTTGGAAAGTGCCTGCAATAGGGATTGGCTAGCCACACAAGTAGACTAGTATCCTTGAATGTGGGTGGCCAGCTATTTACACACACACACACACAGAGGGTTATTCAAAAAGAATGAATAGATTTCATGACACATTGCTTCAGTTCTCAAGTACTGTCATGGAATGAGTCTGTGACCATTTTAAAGTGGAGTTTTCTAAGTTTTAAATGGCTGCCACAGGGGTGTTGTAGTCATTGTATCTCTGGCAATATTCAGTTGTTTGATTACCCGCAGAACGGTGAGTCCTCAGCATAAGATGTTCTGCGTTCTTGAGTTTGCAAAAACAAATATGGTTGTCACAGTGCAGTGTGCTTTTCAAAGACAAATTGACATTAATCTGCCCTCTGTAAGAACATCTGACAGTGGTTCAAACAGTTTAAAGAGAGTGGGTGGCTGTGTACAAGTTTTGGAGGAACAGGTGGTGAGAATCCATGCTGCGTTTGAGGGGAGTCCATGGAAGTCCACAAATCAAGCTAGCTGTGAACTTGCAATCTCTCAATCCACTATCTGGCGTGTGCTAAGAAGACACCTACATTTGAAACCTTACAGACTACACCTCATTCAGGCACTTACCAAGACCTTGTCTTTGTGCTTGACCTGCGAGATCCCCAGACCTTGCCAAGTGTGATTTTTTTCTTGTGGGGATATGTAAAAGATTGCCTTTATGTTCCACCGTTACCCACTAATCTCGATAACCTTAAACATCGAACAACAACAACGATTAACTCAGTGGATCATGATATGCTGATAAGCGTCTGAGAGGAATTGTCTTATTGCATTTATGTTGCCAGTGCTGCAGGTGGTGGCCACGTTGAACACTTGTAAGACAGAAAATAAAAGTTGATTAGGAGTAGAATACTTGTGACTTGGCTAAAGTTTTGTATTGCTTTTCCTTATTAAAATATTGCATAATGAAATCAGTTCATTCTTTTTGAATAACCCTGTGTGTGTGTGTGTATATATATATATATATATATATATATATATATATATACACATATATAAAAGAAATGACAAGAGGTAAATATTTTTGCAACATTTTGGCCCTTGAGGAACTTCAAAAACAACTAGAAATTCTTTTGAGAAAAGCCATATACAGACAGAAAAATATCATTGAAAAAAATTTCAAATGTAAATTTGAAAACATTCTAAAATCACTAGTTTATGAAAAGGAACCTATCATGGACATTAAGTTATGTAATTTTAACATGTTGCTAAATGAAATTTATGATTTTTTTTAAAGCAATGTATTAACCATTTTCCTTAATCTTTTATGGTTTATATGTGAATTAATATAGTTTTAAGGTGTACTATATTTATGGGATAAAGTGCTCAATATCAGAGATAGAGAGCATATGTAAATATAAAAGTGAGCATTGAAGTCAACACTCAGAGGCAACAGGCTGTTTCATGCTAGACACAATTGTCAGGCTGCGAGTATGTGTGTGTGTGTTCTAATCAAGAAAAGTTTACTGAATGAGCAATAACTAAAGTGGAGGTTGGAAATGAAATAGTAACAAAGTACTTGTCAGCGGTGTGAAAGTAGGTAAACCACTGCTAGTGGTGAACTACTTAGCATATTATCCCCACTTACAATAGTGTCCAATGTATTTATGAGGATTGGGACATATCCATTAGTGTTCATAGGTACAGTATATAACAATATATATTTATTTTATATGTGCAGTACTTAGTGGAAAGCACTCAATATCAGTGATAGAGATAACATATTCAGTTGTATGGATATGAGTTTGTCACCCTATAAGCTAGGTTTCATGCTTTTGTGATCAGACAAACTGGTTTATTTTTTTTAAATTTGATCTATTTATGCTTGTTTGACTATGTTTGGTGGTGGGAGGGGGAATTTCCTTCCATGTCTGTTTGGGATGACACACATAGACACATACAGGTGCACACATTTTAGTTCACACAAACGCACCCATATAAACAATCCGAGGCCAGGCACAGATACACATCCATGCACTTGGGTGGGCATACATACGCAATTATTTTAATTCTATTTCAGTGTCAGGACCATGGTTTTAAATGTGTGGCGATGTTCATTTCAACAAGGAGTTGGTAAGGGTATGTTAAGGATTTTAGTAAATGGGTAAAATGCTTTATCAGATATTTTTTCAAAACATATTTTAAATATTTTTTGCATAAACAAATATTAGACTTTATTTTACTTCAAAATGACTACATTTATAGGTTCAGGTTTCTATAGAGATTAATAAATAAAATCAACTTGATAAAGTGTGTTTATCTGTTAGTTTCCTGTAGTATAAAAATAAGCAGGTGCATTCATAATATTTTAACTTGTTGAACCTGCTGTACCAGTTTACTGCTCCAGCACCTAATCATCAAAAAAAAAAAAAAAAAAAATTAAAGTTGTTGTTCATATCAACAACTTTGTACTGTCCATTTACATCCCTTTACTGCTGATTTGTTACTATACAAGCAGTTCTGAAATAGTGAAATTTACCAAAACATCCACAGATAGTATATCAGGAAGTGATCAAGGTTCAGCAGGTTAAATACAGTATCAGTAAGGGTTCAACCATAAACTCATAAAACTAAGGTCATCTTATTATGGTTTAGTAGTTAGTAATGATCTGCCCACAAGGCATGCTTGCTGAGTAGTAAGTTCAATTCTCACTAGATGTCAACACTAAGTTTAGTAAATAATATGAACCTAAAATTTCAGTATATTTTAATTTTAACAAATGAAGTAAATGTAAGATATATGTATAATAGTGCCAATTAATAAATATTAAATATGGGTTTACTAAATTTTGTCAGTGACAACTCTGAGAGAATAAAAAAAAAAGAAGACTTTTTATTCTATTTGAAATCTGTTAAATTTCTCTTGATACAAAACATCATTGAAAATTTGGCTTTTATGGCCTGGAGTCATCTGGTTTACTTTTTTGAATTAAAAGAAAGTTTACTTTATACAATGGGGCTGCTGAAGAGTTCTTGGCTTGACAAAATTACCAAACATCAGAATCTTTTTTGAAGAGCTTCTTAGTCAAGCCAAAAACTTTTCAGCAGTTGATTAAACACAATGGTATTTCAGGTTTTTTTTTTCTTTTCTACTAAACACTTAAAAATAACAAAATCTTTTACATGAAATTTTGGATAAAGATTTATACAGATATCTAAATAGAAATTAATTTATTCATTATACTTAGCATTTAAAGTTTTTTTTATTATCTGACACAACACCATTTACAGCTTAACACTTTCCATTTGTTAAATAAGCATATCTTATTTTTAGTTCAATTGTTATGTTAAATGAAGTTAAGAAATAAGATTTTCCCAGGACAGGTACATAAAAACATAAAGGAATGAAAATACAAATACTGATGCAATTTAACTTGAGGAAATAAACTAAATATTAAACAGGATACGAGAAAAATATAGACTTACTTTTGGTTTGCAATATTCTTCCAACCAACTGAAAACACATCCTGATAATTCAGCAAAATTGGCCACAGACACAGTAGACACAAAAGAAGTAAATAAGGAATCCATCACTTGCTTGAACTGAAAAATAAGCATCAATTGTGGTGGTTAGTAATAATTGATCCCATGTCCAATAAAAATTATTTTCTTGTATGTGACAGAAAGGCACAGATATCCAAATTCAATCTAATCAGATATTGTAAAATACTCAAGTGTATTTGGTATAGAAATGCAGAATAGATTTCAAAAATTTAGTAATGATGTGTTAGAGTATGTGCAATGTAGACTATAAAACTGAAAGCAGATTTGTTTTTTAACTGTTGGATTTCATCCGTGTGTTATTTTGCTAATCTAAAAAAAAAAAAAGTAATATATTTTAAATTAAACGCATTTTATTTAGGTACCTCCACGAGATCACTAAAAGAAGAGTATAGCATGATGAAAAAGATGCCAAACTTAATGAAAACAAAATTTTATTGTTTAAATGTTTGTTATTATTAAGAAGAAAGATCAAAGTATTTTTGGGGTATTTTTTTCCATTTTTTAATCGTTCCTAGCACGTCCGAAATTTTCGTTAAAAGTCTAGTTTTTTTTGAGTCAGCAAAATTGACCATTTTTTTCCATTAAAAAAAATGAAAATCTCACTTTGAAATTCTTTTAAATATCAATTATCATTTTTTCAAAACTTATTTTAAGAAAATCAGAAATTATAATGTTTATTTAAAATATTTTGAACCAAACTTAACTTAGCTTTTGTGCCAAAAAGATGTAATTTGAAAATAAAACAAAGCAGGTCATAAACTTTTGTGTCTCTTGACAGGTGATGAATGACATATTTACAAATTCCATGAGGATAATTTGTTCTACGGAAGGAGAAAAGTGAAATAATTTACATTTAAGTGAACAAATTATTTACCTCGTTATTTTTAATGAAAACTTTCAGGGGTCTAATTTTTTTTTTTTTTTGTACTTAGCTTTCACCTTTACGTTTATGATGCTTTATGGAAAATATATTCTAAAGAAATTAAAATAAGACTGTTAAGAGTGACATTAAATTTCATATTTCCTAAGAAAGGTATCTAATTAATTTATAGGCACCTTTCTTATGAAATTTTATCAGAACTGTACATAAAATACTATAATTTTATGTACATTTATTACATTTTACTGTTATTTGTATTTGCATTCATTTTATTATTAATTTTGATATTTCATTTATGGAAAAATGTCATAACTGAGATTAATATAAAAATAAGATCATATAAATTCCATAAGATGATACTGATACTTGTAGGTACCCTTCTCAGTTGAAATTGAAAAATCAAATTAACATCTCCACACGTGTTTTGCAAAAGTAAAGGCCTTAACAGCGGAGAACAATGTTTAACTCAAATAACACAACTTAAGTATATTCTGGTTGGTCTTCCGTACTTTATAATTACAGCCTGGTTATCAGCACAAAATTACATTTCTTAATTACTGCGGATCTTCTGATTAGTCAAAATGATACAATTTACAACGCGCTAAAAAAGATCTATCTCATAAGGACACTTAGGAAAGCCGATGCGGCTTTTAACTAATTTTATAATATTTTAACAACTTAAATGTAAAATCTATTATAATTAAAGAAATAACAAATAATTGTATTGAAAAAAAATTTTTTCTTTCAGAAAATATTGTCCATATTCATAAAAACAACTAAAAGCAAATAAAAGCATTTGAAATTAAATAATATCTTTGTTTTATTGAGTTTTGTATGTTACAATTCAGAGCTGATTTTCAGGTACTGCGTATCCAATTAAAAAAAAAAAAAAAAAAAAAAAAACATGATTTGTATTCCTCAAAGCCCTGTGCTTTTAATTATTGTAATCACTAAACCCGATGCAATCGAATTTCTAGCGTTTTCATAAAATTAGTTGGGGGGATAAATATTTAAAAAAATATTTCTACCATGACTTTAAAAAAAAAAAAACATATAATAATTTTGATCATCTGTGAATAGTTCCTGAAAGTTTCATTAACATCCGATAATTATTTCTATTTTTGAACGATTTTTCAAATTAATGTGTGTCATACCAAAAAAACGTGCTAAAAATTGTCTATGTTATTTACTAGTTCCGCTGATACAAATAGAAACAAGGTTTTTTTCTTTTTTAATCAAAATTTAGAATGTTCTAAAAAGAAGGAAAAATTTTTAAAAATAATAAAAAAAAAACTTTGGTCTTTCCTCTTAATAATAACATACGCATTTAGACAGTAAAATTTTGTTTTCGGCAAGGTTGGCATCTTTTTCATCAAGTTATGCTCTTTTTTTAGCGATTTCGTGGAGGTACCTATTTTTATTTAAGGCCTGAGTATTGCATCCAGTTTTTAATGTTTCCAATGAAGTCAATTGACTTAAAAGGTTTGGCAATGTTTAACTTTTGTGCATGCAAAAAATGATGTGTCAAAAGGACAGTTATTTCCTTGACACTGCTATTACTGTGCAAACATTTTTGACTCTTTTGCCAATGTTGTTTTAAAAAGCAATGATTTCAATTTTAATAAAATCCAAACATTAAAGTGGATTTATACATTTTCCTTATTCTTGAGAATTGATAATATAGATATTAAACACTGTTTATCTATTAGATTGAATAATAATAAAAAAAGACTTGTTTTATAGTTATTTATAAATTTGTAAATACCAAATATTGCATTGTAGTTAGTTTATATATTTTGAGAATTTTGTAATATTTATAAAAATATCTTGAAGAAAAATTTTTTTACAAATTTTTTTCTTTTTAAAGTGATAAATAATAAATATTGCATTGTACTTGGTTCAAATATTTTTATAATCTTGTAAATAAACATTGCTCTCACTGGGTGCTCCCCAATTGCGGCCTTGTGCTACATCTAAACTACTTAGAAAACCATAGCACACTTCAACATGTAATGGTTGGCAAGCTTGTCTCACTAGATCAATCACTACTGAATAGACAGTTTGATCTTCACATGGTGCAATGGTTAGTAAGCTTGTCTTGCTAACTCAATTACAATCAAGTAGTTAGTTTGATTCTCACCGAATGCTCCAGTCAGCCTTATGCCACATTTATGCTATGCTTAGTAAATCACTATAATTTTGTAATCTTTGAAAGTAGAAATGATTTTAATCACGTTTAAAAGGTATAGATAAATTTTCCTAATTTAGGAAAAGAATTTGAGAGAGGAGAAATTATCTTGATTAGATGAATTTACATTTAGAGTAGGAAACTCATCTTGGTTGTTATATTAGCAATTGCCTCTTTTATCCTACAGCCTTTTCCAGGTGTCTGTTGTAATTTTGAAATAAATCCTTCATTTGATCCATGAGGGTAGATTCTTCTCATTCTATTTTTTATACTTAAGGAATAAAAGATATTCCTTAATATTCTCCAGTCTGTTTGGCCTTTTGTGCTACTTATTTATTTCTTCCATTGAATGTCACTGAGAACAATCTTCTGTCTTCCAAATACAAAAGACAACTGAAAAAGTCAAAGAATACAATGGCAAAAAATTCTGAGTAAAACAAATGAGTTTCTTAGTCTGAATATAAAAATATAAAATAACAATGACTTTTCATCTTTTGAGGATGTGTGATGCAACAAAATTGGGTCAGTTATGAAAAAATAAACAATGATCTTACAACTTGAAATTTCACTTCATCTGAAACTTGATTCTGTCCTGCTTGTGGAGTGTTCTGATGTGTCTTTACAATATGTTCATAATTTCTGAAAACAAAAACAAAAAAAAAAGATCATTTGATACATTTATAAAAGGCAATTTACTTTTATGTAAGATAATATAAACCATAAAATATTGCAACACATTACCTGGCCCCAGGCCATTTCTAAAAACACAAAAAAAAACTCATTCATCAAATTGTTAACTGGTTCCATGTTTTGGGGTTTTTTTTTTTAAAAAGTGAAAAATAACCAGCTGTACACTGTAGGTCACTGGTTAATGGTCACTGTTAGTATATTTAGAAACACAGGTTGGTTAAAATCTGTTCATCTTTCGGGTATTCGTGTGTGTGTGCACTTCATCCATTAGTATGACAACACAATCCTACAAATTTGTTGTAAATTGAACAATTTTGATATGGCAAGAATATGATGAAAATAATGTACCCAGAGAAATATGGACCTTTAAAAATCTGGTACTATAAAATTAACTATTTGCAATTCTGATGCTATTACTAATCAAAAATTAATCCACATAGATTAAATGCAAACCAATTAATCTAAAAGTAAGAACATGAAGTCTTTAATAAACCCTGATTGCAGCTATTACAAAATAATTTATGAAAAAATGTCGTGTGAATATTAAAAGTCCAACTGGACTGTTTGAATATAAGTGAGATGAAATACTGTTTTTCATTAACCAAATATTACTAGCACAAACTCTTACCAACAAATGTTTTCATAGTTTCTGATTATGTTTAGCAGGAAAATGTTGGCTGAAAAATCTGAGATTTTATTCTGACAATGCTAAATGAAAATACAAACTTTAAACAAGCATAAAGCAGTCCTTGTCAGTAGAAGTATAGCTCTTGCAAAATCATTAACATAAATATCTAGAAAATGTTTTTCTACTTAAAAAATATCAACTGAACAGTAATTTGTTTAACAGTTAATGAAAGTATTTAAACTGATAGTTTTCAAAAACTGAAACATATTTTAAAGAACACTAATCTAAGCAATTGTAAGCTCTAATAATTCTTTATTCATCAAAAACATACCAAAAATGAAAACAATGTACATACGCTTTCATGATTTTCAGAGCCATCACTTCTTTCCTGAGATTGTCCAGAGCAACTTCCTGTTTGGATTTCTGATCCACTAAGTAACCAATGTAGTCAATTGCTGGAGAAGACAACAAAAAATAAATTCTCAATTTCTTAATAAATTGATTATTGTTATTTTAAAAAGGAAGATCATAAGTTAGATAAGGACTGTTTAATTTTGACTATCTTTTCTCTTTCACATGTAAAATTAATCATAGTTAATTCAAAGAAATAAAACTCAGACATAAAAAGAACTAGAAAGGTTGATAGCTATTAGTTTTAAGTAAAATAAATAATTTCTATTTATTTTAGGCATTAAATTTAGAGCTTAACAATAGATAATTATTACACTGAACCATACAGGTAAGTCAAATTAGATATGTACAGATAAGATTATTATTTGAAAAGGAACTAACAGAAATGTAAATAGTACTTGTTAAACACCTGTGGCTAAGTACTTCATAACATCAAGATATATTTTTTGCCATGAAACAAGTAGGTATAAATTGAACAAAGCAGTAATTAGAAAGAATTAAAAAAATTAAAATGTATAAATTAACATGCTTATCATGCTCAGGACATGAACACTGAATTTAAATTTTGTTTGAACCAAGTAAGTTAAAAGAAAAAAAAAGAGTTGAATACATAGTTTTATGATTTAGACAAGATCACTAACCAAAAGATATGTCTTATAGATTTTGATTTTTATCTTATATAATCTCTTGAAGAGAATGTGGAAATAATGAAACATGATGGAAAGTGGGATCAGAGAGATAAGTTCAAATTCTGGCCTAGTCTGTGTTCATTTCACACTAGATACCTTGAGAAAGGCATGAATCCAGCTTAGTAGGATAAACTAGCTATAGGTGGCAGCCAGTCTAGAAGAACTGCACTGAATTCAAAATCATAGAGAATGCAATGGGAAGCCACTCCATTATATTTCCTAAAAAGTCAGAGCAATTCAGGGATAATAAAGGAAAGGAATCTGTGGAGAGTCATGATTGAAGAAACATGGTATTTGAAAAAAGAAAACTCAAAGAAAAGATTTTTCCCCCTGCTGCTCAAAAGACATATATAATTGCTGTATAAAATGTTCTTGAATTCAGCTGTAAAAAAGTAGAGAAAAGAGGAAAATTTTATTAGCATTTTTGTAACAGACTACACATGGACTTCATATTATAGGAAGCAGTTTTGCTATTCCTAGGTTGCATCTCAGCTGTGTAGTCAGAGATAGAACAGTTAAAAGTTTAGGGATAAGATCTTTCCTTCCTAAATTCTAATTCAGAAAAGTATTTCAAGTCCATCAGAAAGCAAGATGAAAGAACATTTTTTTTTTGTGTTAACAGAAAACCTTGTGTCATGTAGTGAAGTTAATTGCTTAAAGGAGGCATGAAAAAGCTGATAAAAAAAATATCCTTAATTAGGAGCTCTACAAGTGAAAGGCTTTGACATTAATTATATATTTAGCTGAATTTTTATCAAAATTATAGCCAAGCAAATTCCACCAACAGTAAGAGTCATCATGGGAACTGACACCCTGGTTGGTTGATTGATTTTTATGGCTTATCAACCCTTTGTTGATTATTTAGAGCTGAAACATTTTTTAGATAAAAAAAAAAAAAATTTTTGTTTTTTTTTTGCAAGTTAATATTGCATTAACAATTTTTTAAAAGATATGATTTTTTTCAGATACAAGGCCTACTATTTAACCCATAGATGGATGGAGAAGAGACGGATTCATACTTTTCTCAATAGTATTTGCATGTAAGTGAATGTAACAAACTTGAATGGAATTTGAAATCTTCTCTCCAACTGTCATCCTGATAGCAGGCCTATGACTATTTGATGTTGCAACAAAGTATCAGTGTTGTTATTATATTTCCATGAGAAATAGACTTAGCAAATTAACACGTGACTGCACATCTCTCCTGAATGTGTTAATGAAGGAATCCAGTTCAAAGAACTGCATTTAATGTTAACAACAAATCTATAAGCTGAAAACGACAGTTTTCAGTTTTTCCTTTCACTCAATTTCTAAGATCCAGCCTTCTTCATCTTTTCTTCTTGAAAACAGCCTGATACACTGAAACTTAAAGCAACACCAACAAACCGTCTCTCTCTTTCAAAAACTGGATACAATGTATGTGTGTGTGTGTGTGTGGGGGGGTTATGGCTTATCAGTCCCTTATGAGTCAGTAAAAAGGTTTCTTGAAGACAAACATCAGAACAAAAGTGTTAGCTGCAGTTAAAATTTACTTATAGCCCACAGCAATTCCCTTGTGTACTATAAATGTACGTATGTATGTATGTATATATATATGTGTGTGTGTGTTTGTTTTTGACTTTTACTGGATTTTTATGTCCTTTTATTGTGTATTAAGTATTCATATTTCCTTTCCATTGTAAGATTATTTTTAGTTAAGTTATACCATCTTGTTTCTGATGTGTTGAGGGTGTAGGATAAATTTTGATTTCCATTTGTTCAAATTTTTCAGACATCTTCTTTGTTCTTATTTGGCTATTGTGGGTTGGTTTTTGTCTTTCTCTCGTCCTTGAGATAGATCCATGTTTTTTCTTACTCATTTGTGTTTCATTCTTTTCCTTCTTTTCAGTTATTGGTTTATAGTTTAATTTGGCAGAGAGAGCTATTTCCATATTTGTTATGCTAGTTTTTATGGCTTTAAAGAAATTTTACAATTCATTTATTAATGATGTTAATTGTGTTTCTGTTTTGTTTTTTGTCAGATTATTTCCTAGATTTTCATTTACATTTGGTGGTGTTTCTTGAGTATTACTTCTGATTAGTTACAGTTGATATCTAGAGCAGGGGTGGGTAACCCTTGGCACGTGTGCCAAACATGGTATGTCAATGATTTATTTCTGGCATGTGAAACTTATTCATTAGAGTCCCTTTTTGATTTAATTTTATTCTTTCTTCTCTTTCATGTATATCATTATCTCATGTATTTTTATTTTCTGCCCTTTACAGTTTGTGCAGAATGTCACAATCATCATCTAAGAAATGATGTCATTCAAATGAAGAGGATATTAGAGAATTTAAATACTGGACTGAAAAATTTGGCATGATTACGAAAGACAATAAAGCCTTATGCATTTTCTGTTCTGAAACAATCATTTGTAGGACTTATTCTGTGAAGAGATATTTTGTAAGTGTTCATAAGAACTTAAGCAATAAAATTGAGAAGGAACAAAGAGAATTAATTTCTCGTGAACTAAGCAAGATAAAATACAGGCTGATACTGTTATGAACTTTATTTCAGGTAGGCCTAGTTCCAATTTAGTTTCTACTAGTTTTGAGGTTTTAAAAGTTATTGCCCAAAATGAAAAGCCACTCAGTGATGGGGAGTATATTAAAGAAGCTTAGCTAAAATGTTCACCTTTTCTTTTTGTCAATTTTTCAGGAAAGGAAAAGATTATTCAGCACATTAAAGATTTGTCTGTGAGTAGGAAAGCAGTTAAGGTTAGGATACTTAAGTTGGAAAGGAATACAACTGAACAACTGACAAAAGATTTGTCTTCATGCAAGTTTTTTTCCATTTGTGCTGATGAAAGTATAGACATTACATCATCAGCTAGGCTAGCCATATTTTCTCGATTTGGTAGAAGTGATGAAATATGTGAAGAGATGGTTGCCCTTGTAACATTGCCTGAGCATACTACCAGGGCTGAAATATGTAAACCAGTTGTGAACAAATTATCTACTTGGCAAATTCACATTTCAAAAGTAGTATCCACCACAACAGATGGTGCCTCCAAGAAAGCAAGATTTGTAAATCTGTTTGCAAAAGATGTGGGTCATCCACTGATAGGTTTTCATTGCATTATACATGAGGAGGCTTTGTGTGCAAAAGCTGGCCTAAAGGAACTCCAGGAAGAGATGCAAACTGTTACCAAGGTTATTAATTACATTTCTGCTTGGGCTTTAAATAAAAGACAATTTCAAATTTTACTGGATGAGGAAGAATCTTTATATAAAAGACTGAAAATGTACAACAATGTTCATTGGCTTAGCCAAGGTTTGGTTCTGAAATGATTTGTTGAATGCTTAGAGGAGATAAAACTCTTTTGGAATGACCAACAAGTGTCTTACTAAGAATTGTCTGACATCATGTAGGTTTGTAAACTGATGTTTTTTTGCAGATTTTTGTGATCATTTAAATGATTTGAATATCAAATTACAGGACTCTGGTAAGACACTTGATGTTATGTTTGGTTACATAAAGACTTTTCAAATTTGTTTTTTAAGAGGGATCCTGATTTAGATTTTCCTAATCTTGGCAGCTAAGTCATTGTTGTCAAATCAACTGTTGAGCAGTTCATTTTTTCAGAACTGGAAGAGACAGTAAAACTGTTTCTAACAGTATCCATCTAACTTGCAAATGGTTACATGTATAGACATGGATGATTTTTGAAATGTAATTGATTGAATTTCAGAGTAGCTCAATTTGGAAGCAGAAATTTGTTGACCTTAAAGTTTTTGGGAAAATATTGAAAAGGAGCAATTAGAAATGGGAGTATCAGATAGAAATGTGGAAAAACAAAGTATTAAGGACTTGGAATACTATTCCAGAAATTTTATCTGTTTAAAAAAACTTTGCAAAGCCCTAATCAATGCTGAATCTTTGGTTAATCATCTCATCATCCTGATGGATGGCCTTTTTTCAGAGAATTTAAAAAGCAAAAGATTAACAGCTTTTTGTGTTTTAGTCATAAAAAAATTGATTGATCAAAAAAATAACAGTGTTAACTTTTTTGTTGATCCTGTTTTCCTACTTGCTAGAAGTCATTGTCTGTTACTTCAGTTTTTAAGAACTATGGCAAACTGTCTAACCCATCTAACTATCAGCCTATTAGCCTTCTGCTTTTTTTAAATAAAATCAATGCTGAATTGGTTAATCATCTCTCTCAGGGCCTTTTTTTGATACAGCTTTTGTTTCTTCAGATCAACTGCTGATGTACTAATGCCTTTGAAAGGGCTTTAGATAAAAACTGTGAATTGGACATCTCAAAAGCCTTTGACAGGGTCTGGCATTCAGGTCTTCTCCACAAGCTGAAAAGTTATGTTATATCCGGGCATGTCTTTGAGCTGATCCAGTCATTCCTATCAAATCGTGAAATGAAAGTTGTCCTGAACAGCCACTCATCTTCATCCTTTCGTACTAATGTGGGTGTCCTCCCAGGGCTCCATCCTGGGTCCTACACTATTTTTAATCTTAATTAACAAACTTCCCGATGACATCAGCTCTCAACTTGGCATCTACACTGATGATATTACCATTTACTCCTGCCTCAATAGTACAGCTGATCAGTCAAACATGGTCAAAATGGTAGCTGATGTACAAAACCTCAAGACTGTCATTAACTGGGCAAAAGATGGCCTGTCAATTTTAATGCCTCCAAAACTAAACTTCTCTCCATTAATCATCAGAGAGATCCCTCTCCTCCTCCCATCAGCATGGATGATGCTATCCTCCAAAAAAGTAACTCATTGAGCCTTCTCAAGCTAATGTTCTTAGCTGACATGAGGTGGAAAGACTACATTGAATCCATTGCTAGATCAGCTGCTAAAAAAGTCAATTTAAATGCAACGTCAATCACTATCTACTGTCTTCCTGATTGCTTTTTTTCTCTTTCTCCTCTTTAGTAATGTTTCTGTTTCTAATTCCTTTGCACCCTGTAACCCCTTGTGTTCTAGTTGCTCTGCAGTCTTGCTTGGGGTGATACTGATTAAAAAAAAAAAAAAAGATACAGTTAATAGTGTCTTTAAACTGCGTGAGTATGTATAGGAGTTACATTTATACTTAGTCTAATAAAAAAATATCACAAAATAACTTTTTCACAAAAACCTGTCATTTTTTTTCATTCAGTAAGTTTTACATGATTTCTTACAATACTGTGTCTTTACTGTTCTGGGGGTGACTTTTTATCATTTAATAAAGTCCTTCACATACTTAGGAGATTTCAAATAATATGTTCTCAAATGATTTTTGTTGGCAAGTGGAAAGATTTTGTGTCAGATTTGGCCGGTTTTGGCATGCACTCTAAAAATGGTTGCCACCCCCTGATCAAGAGCTTCAAAAAGGCTTTGCGCCTTTCCAGACTATGAAATCACTCAGTGATTGAAATAAACAGACCATCACATTTTAAAAGCAGTATACAGTGTGAAATGGATAAATTATTATCTAAATTACGCAAAAATGAAAATAACACTGACATCTCATTTTAACATATATTTACCAAAATTGCACAAAAATATCTTGAAATTCTAAAGAGTAAATTTATTCAATAAAATCATCATTAATTTCAACCACATCCTCTGGAAGACTTCAGAATTCCCTGCAACTCTTCTGGATGGTTACTTTGTTTAAGTTGGTGAATGGACCAAAATCCTTGCCTTCAGTTCATCTTTGGTGTTACAAAGAGTTTTGCTGGTCTCTTTCTCAACTGTGCCCCACACATAATCAAGTCTGATGGTTAGAGGGCCAGATGTAAGGAGTGATGTAGTCACAGAAATTGTCTGACAGCCATGACTGGGTTAACTCCTGTTTGTGTGGCATGGTGCAGAGTCTTGTTGTCAGACATAGGGTCTTTCAGCAGTCACCTGCTTGACCCAGGGAAGCACTACCTTACTCAAGGCACTTGATGTAGGCATTCGTGTTGAGTCTGAGGCTCTCACCAACAGATTCAAGAGTTCTTTTCTTATCAGAATAATCAGAGTGAGTTTTCTGACCTGCTGTACCTTTGTATCCATTATTAGACTCATCGAATTCTTTCAGAATCCTCTGCACCGTTTCCTCAGATTGATACTCAAGCACTCTGAAATGTTCATATTGGAACTTCCGGTGCAAATGTGAAACGGTACAGCATGCCATTTCCAAAATTCTGGTGGAGTGAAATGAGTCATGGTGGTCTTTTTTCTCACAGATGGTGCCCAACTGACCCTACTTCACCGTGCAGTTAACAAAATCAAAAACAAACGTGCATGCGCAAAATTAAAAATTATAAAATGGCGGCAATTTACCTATCACGCCCTCTATATTTCAAAGTTTTTATCATCTATTTTAGAACAACAGTTAGCATGGTAATTGTACAAGCTATTGCTAATTAGATTAATCCTCAGAGTGCTTGATTAAGCTAATCTCGTGCAAACACTGCACTAATCTAACAAACATTTCTCCCATTTTAAAATTTTTCTCTTTTGTAATTCTGTTTTAATATTTTTTTTGGCTTAAAAATCTGGACAGAGTTTGCAATTTCTCTTTTCTATCAATTCAACCAGAGATCAGCAATTCCTGAGCACCACAACCACTTATTAACTTATCATCATGTATCACTACTCCATTAACATTTTAGCATTCAACATGCTCAAACTTGCTAAGTAAATATTGGTTCTTAAAGTCTCACTGTTTGTGTAACTTCATGTGTTATTTGCAATGATGTTGTCATATATTATGGCAGAATATACATAGGGCGAGTTATGGTGTGTTGAACACCAAGAGCCGGTATTTACAGAGTGGGTTGAATACTAAAGGGTTAAAGATGTTAAGCTCAATTGAAATGTGCATCTCAGAAAATGTCAGTAACTATGTTTAGCAGGATATTTTGAATTTATACCAGAAATAACAAAAGGTCTACTGTTAATATAACTATTTTACAATTATAACAAATAATAAAAAAAAAAGTTTTATGCTAAAATCTAATAACAGGAAGCTACTTTTCACACCTTGTACAATCATAATTTCACTTACATTTCTGTAACACAGTGGCTTTACTGAGTTTTTGGGAACCCAAACTGTCAGGTTGCTGGCATTTAGGAACAATCATTTGCAGTTCATCATAACCTTTCTGTAATGGAGGGGAGAAAAATAAAAATAGAGAAGGAGGATAGAAATATTTAAATATTAGAAAGTTCTTAGCTTGACCAAAAAGGGATTCCAAAACAAGTTCTGATGTTTGATCAGATTTTGGGAAGTGGGATGTGCCAAGAACATTTCATTACCCTCATTCATACTATCACAATTACAATATACAGTTGAAGACAAAAAATTAGTCCCTCTACAAAAATTGAATTCTTTAAAAAAAAAAAAAGAAAAACTTTTCCCCTATTGTTTTTTTCTTTTTTAACAGAACAAGGAATTTTTAACACAGCATTGCTTAACATACTAGTCTTTAGAAAGATCAAATTCTTTTTTACTTGCATACAATAATAAACCAAGATGTACATCGGTCAGCATTATAATTATTATGTGAATTAATTTTGTTTTTGTTGAAACTTGAATAAAGCATGGAATAATAATAATACAACACAAAATGCACTTAAACAAAATGTATTGAAACACGAACGTGTACACAATAGTTACAGATAGTTTGGTATATTCTTGGGAAGACTGTTCCTGTAGAATGGGTTGACTTAGTCGCAGTCGGGCGGAGTCTCTGGATTGGATCTCTTCTTCCTTCCTCTTCCCGGTACCAACCATATTTATATGGTCGGTACTACACTATTCCACTATGTAAATTAGGTGGATCGTACCACAACACCCCCCTCCCAAGCCTTGGAATCCCTTTTGGATTTCAAATTGGCTTCCTATATGGGTTGATGATTATGGCTATTTCTTTGTAGATCCATTTGCCTAATTTTAATATTTTTTCCGTTTTGGATTCACGTCCAATGGGTCTGTGAACTTCCGTTTCCTACCGGATCTTCTTGGCTCAGGAGTATTCTGTGGTGGTTCTACCTGAAACATATCATACATTATATCAATGGGATCTTCGTCCTCATCCGGTATACTCTCTTCATGCTCTATACCGTAATATTTTTTAAGTTGGTTCTGGTGCCTTTTATGAGTATTCTTCGGCCCTTTAATTATGTAAATCAGGTCACCGATTCTCTTGTCCACTATGCCTCGCTCCCAGAACTCAACGTTGTTTTTGTAGCACTTGAAAAACATCTTCTCTCCGGGAGTGTATCTTTTTCTCGCTGTATACATGGTATTCTTTACTCTATTTTTTCCAGGCAAAAGCTTGTCAAACACCGACTTAACTTTCCTAGCGAACATTAGTTAAGCTGGTGCCATGTTTGAGTGTGTTCTCTGGTTTAGCGTGATTCTGTATACTTGTAAGAATTGCTGAAGTGCCTTTTCCGTTGGAACTCCTGAGGCTTTCTTCAGAGCTCGCTTTAAAGTATCGACAAATCTTTCTGTGAGTCCATTAGACCTCGAATGATACGGAGGTCGTTATGTGGTTAATTTGATATAACTCACAAAATTCCTTAAATTCTTCAGAAGTGAATTGTGTACCATTGTCACTCTCACAATACACTCTGGCACAATCGAACCGTGCAAATAGTTCATGCAAAAAAGTTGTTGTGGTATTGGACATAGGCTTTTTACAGCGTAGTACTTCCGGCCATTTTGTAAAACTATCTACCACTATTAAGTAGTAAAAATCTTCTACTGGACCAGCGAAATCAATGTGTAATCTTGTCCATGGATGATCCGTCTTGGGCCATGGTTTGTGTACTAACGCACACCCTTTACATCGATGAACCATGTTTTCGATATCCACATCCATTCCTTTCCAATACACAAAGCTTCGCATTAAGCTTTTTGTTCTATTAATACCCGGGTGACCCATATGAAAGTCCCGAAGTATTCTTTTCTGCAACTTTTTTGGTATTACTACTCTCTCACCATATAATAACACTCCGTCACCTATTGAATAAATCTCCTGCACTTTTTGGTCATTTGCTACCATTTTGCCTTTTATTTCTAAAATGAAATCATCGCTTTCAGCTTCTTTTTTAATTTCCTTTAGGGTAACCGGTAGCTCTCTTACAATGTTGTTTACCATGCTTTTCACCTCATAATCTGCTCTGATATTTGCAATAATTGATTCTTCGAATCTTTCTTCTTGACTCGGTACTGGTCTTGATAGACTATCCGCATGAATTATATTTTTGGACGATAGGTGCTTTATGTGAAAATCATAATTGAGAAGAATGATTCCCCATCTTAACAGATGATTTGCTGTATAAACGGGTAACCCTTTCTTTGAACCAAAAATAGTGATCAGTGGTTTATGATCTGTTTCAAGCATAAAATGTCTGCCGTGGATGTACCTGTGAAATTTTTGTATGGCAAAAATGATACTCAGTGCCTCTTTTTCTATCTGAGAGTAACTTCTTTCTCCTGGGAGCAAAGTTCTTGAAGCGTGTGCAATTGGTTTTCTAGAACCATCTGGCATTATGTGTTGAATACACACTCCTATCCCGTATGAACTAGCGTCACTTGCCACTACAATATCCAGTTTTGGATTGTAATGGGTTAAAAAGAGGTCGGACGTAAGCATTTTCTTTATTTCATCAAAGGCTTTCCGACATTCTACCGTCCATTCCCATGCCTTGTCTTTTTTTAGCAGTTCATTCAACGGAGCTCTTAAATTGTACATTCCTTTAATGAACGCTTGATGATAATTTGCAAGCCCTAGAAAACTCTGTAGCATCGCCACATTAGTGGGCGTCAGCATGTCTCTAATCGCAATGGACCTTTCCGGATCTGGACATCTGCCATTTTTGTTGATTATGTGCCCTAAATACTTAATTTCCTCCAAACCAAATTCGCACTTTGACTCTTTGACTTTAAATCCAAAGTCTTGAATCTTTTTAAATACTTGATTGCGATGCTCTCGATGTTCGTCGACAGTTTCACTCCTTACTATGTCGTCATCTAAGTAAGCGCACGCAAAGTCTAAATCATTCAACATGACGTCCATAGCTTGTTGAAAAATGGCTGGTGCCACTTTAATACCAAAGGAAGCCTGTTGTACTTGAATAACCTTCTATGCGTGTTTATCCCTAGTAACTTCGAACATTCCTCTTTGACAGGAATTTGGAGATAGGCATCTGATAAGTCGATTTTTGAAAATATAACTCCACCATTTAGCTTGATAAAAATCTCCTCCGGACTCGGGAACGGGTAATGGTAGTCCTTAATTACCGAGTTCAACCCTGTCGAAAAATTAACGCAGACTCTGACTTGGTTTGATTTCTTTTTTATGCACACAATCGGGCGCAGCCCATGAATTAGATTCTACTTTTGAAATAATTCCCATTTTTTTTCCAACCTATCAAGTTCTTTCATTAATTTTCTCTACACTTGTGAAAGGCACGTTACGTTTCTTTTTAAAAATTGGCATAGTATTTTCCTTTAATTCAAATTTGGCTTCAAACTTGTTACATCTTCCAAGACCAGGTGTGAAGGTTTCCGAAACTTTTTCTTTAATTCCTCTTTAATGTCCTGTCTTGTTTTATGACATTTACTTTCTACTTTTCTGCAGAATGGGTTTAACGGTTTATCCCACAATTGAATGTTTCAATAAAATCTGTACCCATCAAGTTTTCTCCATTTTCAGAATGAAAACTTTTATTTTTTAACTATCCCGTTTAATTTCATGGGAAGTACAACCTCACCTTCGAATTTAATTTCCTTTCCAGTCACTGTTCGAGCGCATTTCGTTGACTTCATTATTGTAGGCCTTTTTAAAATTTTCCATGTTTTATAGTTCTATATTTTAAATCTGAACCCGAATAGAGTCGAAATTTGATATTCTTTTTAAATATTTCAGTTGTCACATACTTCCTCAAATCTCTATCTGATTTGATATTTGAATTTGTTTGTCTAATTCGGCTATTGACTTTTTCGTTTTACAACACGACCCTTTGTGACCATTCTTGTGGCACACGAAACATTTTTTTATTTCTATATGGATAATTTACCTTCCAGTGTCTTTCGCTGCACTGTCTACAATTAAATGGTGGAACCTTTTTTTTCTCCTCATTCTTTTCATTTAATTTTTCTTGTCTATTTTTAACATACGCTGAATTTTTACTCCAATTTTTTTCTGATGGGTAATTTGACTGTTTTTTTACTTTTTTAATATAAGCAATGCCAGCCTCTTCAATTTTTTGAGACTCTTTCTTAAACTTATGGCCCACTGACACTCCTCTGCTAACTTTTGCAGGGTAAGGTTTTGTTCAGATTCGAGTTTAGACAAAACTCTATGTCTTATTTCGGCACTCTTACTGGATACCAGTCCTTGAGCAAAAATTAAACACTTGAATTCTTCAACCATAATCTCTGCCAATCTGAAATTGTCACAATGTCTATTCACTATAGATGCATATGTTAAGTAATCCTGCTCATCGGATTTAGCAACATTCATGCATAACCATCGCTTATGCCAAAGCGACATATTTGCTCCAAACAACTCCTTTAGCACTTTCACTGTTTCCGAGAATTCCAATTCATTTGTTCTTCTCGGTAGAATAAAATCTACAAATTTGCTATGTTCTGCTGTACCTAGCTTTCTTAGTAATAGACTGACTTTTCTTGAATTCGACCAGTTTTCACAGTCTGTGTAGAAAATATCTTCATATCGTTTAAAGCACGCTTCAAACGTTTTTTCCTTCGTCTGGCACATAGTTGAAAGTTTCCAGTGAATTAAATATGATGTTATTAGAATATGAAGAGTTTCCTTCATTTGCCTGATTGTTGTTTAATTTCTCCAGTGTTAACTTTTGAATTTCTAAAACCTTGATCTGCATTTCTTCCTGTTTTTCTAGTCTTTCCTCTTGTTCCCTTTGACGTTGCTGACTCAACTCCTCTTGCTTTTCTTGATATTTCTGCTGTGCTATTTGCTGTTCCCTTATTAATAAGGCAAACTGTTCATTTTGATGTTGCTGACTCAACTCCTCTTGCTTTTCTTGATATTTCTGCTGTGCTATTTGCTGTTCCCTTATTAATAAAGCAAACTGTTCACTTTGTTGTTGCAGACTCAACTGCTGGGATTTGAATAATTCAGCTTGACTCAACTGCTGGCTTTTTAAATAATTCAGCTATGACTTTGGATAATTCATCCATCTTTAGCTGATAGTGTTCATGCAACAAAGAATATACTTTTAAATTGTGTATCCACGAATATAATATAAGCTGACAAAAAAAATCGAAACAACTTACGACTTTTTAATTTTATGTCTTGCTTTATAAAATATTGTTGAGCAACCAAACAAAAAAAATAAACAATTTTTTTTTTTACAAGTTCGTTACCTTTCAAAGTCGACACGTTGTATTTGTGCTCCTTTTAATTCCATGCATGTTTTTGTAGTCGGCCAGCTTTTTTTTTTTTTTTTAATTCGCCGTTATTCGTTTACGCCACCTTTCAGATTTTTCTGAGTGAACGTTCCTTTATGCTTAGTCGTCCTTTAACGAGTTTTAACTATCCAGAACTTCAGAATACTTTTCCGTTCTATTAGATGTTGGACTTTTAATTAATAATTTTTTCCTTCAGCCTGGGTTCTTCAAAAACTTGTCCCAATTGTTGAAAGCTATCAATTATCAATTCTTTTTTTTTTTTTTACGTAAAGTTCTTTATACCTCGTCGCCATTGTTGAAACTTGAATAAAGCATGGAATAATAATAATACAACACAAAATGCACTTAAACAAAATGTATTGAAACACGAACGTGTACACAATAGTTACAGATAGTTTGGTATATTCTTGGGAAGACCGTTCCTGTAGAATGGGTTGACTTAGTCGCAGTCAGGCAGAGTCTCTGGATTGGATCTCTTCTTCCTTCCTCTTCCCAGTACCAACCATATTTATATGGTCGGTACTCCACTATATAAATTAGGTGGATCGTACCACAACAGTTTTTGTGGACAAAGTAAAATAATATGACCTAAATAAAACTAGTAGATTTATAAATGCTGTATTAAAAATTCCTTGCTCTGTTAAGCAGCATTTTGGAAATATTAAAAAGATTTTCATAGAGGAACCAATTATTTTGTTTTCAACTGTATTCATGCAAATTCTGCTATGAACAGATATAAATATACAAGTTAGCATATAAATATTTATAAAAAGATGACAGTAAAGAAGTAATTTACCTTTATGGCATCCCTTCGTTTCTGCTCAGCTTGGGTATGAGCTTCTCGCCTTCGATCTTTGTAACTCATCATTGTTCTGTTGTCACTGTCTTCATCATCTGATAGAAATAGATAGAAATCAATGGTTCACACGTCTTAAAATGGCTGATGAAAAAAAAAGTTAAACTCATAGGTTAGTAACTTCATGAGAATATAACAAAACTGTTTTTAAAAATTATTAAAAAAAAAAAAAAGGATTTTACTCATACAGACATCAAATTTATCCAATCAGCAATTTTCTTTTGTCAAGTACCTAATGAGACTGTACTCAAATTACAAAATGTTCTTTTGTAGAAGGTTTTATGGGCATAATATTGGTTTTTGATCTGCCATTCTTGAGTCTTTACTAATTTATGCATTGGAACTCCATCCATTATAAAAGGAATGTTGTTTTTGTTAAAATAAATATCAATGAATATTGGGAAAAGGTCCTCCAGCAGAATGGATATATTTTCAGGAAGCTTTGAATGACCAATACTTCAAATTTCTTCACATATCATAACTGAAAATCTGCCATGTTTGATAATATGTTGCAGTAGGGCAGATCGAATTTTGGAATTGCACTCAATTTGAAAGTTGGGATTTGATATAAATAATGACAAAATATTTTTTTCAAAATTTAGTTTTTTGAGTAAACAAGTTTAAAGATTAAGTTAGGTTCAAAATTAGAGTACTGGAATTTCATTCCAGTGATCAGTGAAAGATTTAACATTGTCAAAAACTTCTGTACCCTTATGGAAAACAAATGTGTAAATGTCATTTAATAAAATGTTTTCCAATTATAACATTTACTCATTCTCAATAAATCAGAATCATGAATAATATAAAAATATTCACCTCACAAAAGTAAAATTGAGATTAAATACAATGTGTATTTAGGTTGTGACCAGCGATGAAAACTGATTCCTTTTTTTTCCTCATATAGAATTTTATGTTTTGTTATTTTTCAGTGGAAAAAGAAATTAAACTAATTCTAAAAACACAGAGATATCATAAAACCTCATAAAAAAGAAATTTCTTCATTTTAAAATCAACAGTAGTAAAATAAATATATTTCATTTATGAATCTTGTTCCAAAACTCTTTTGAGGGGTATTATCTAAGTTCTCACCATTATAAACATTTCGTTTGCCACTGTAAAATTAGTTTTTGTATTTTTATATAACAGACTTAATTATTTGAAAAAGAAAGTAAATAGTTTGTTTAATTTACATAATTTTGTATTTTCAAAGTGACTGGCATTTATTTAAAACGTGTTTGTTTATTTCTGTGGAAGAAACTATATTTCTATTTAGGTAAGTAATACTCTTTCATTCAATTTTTCTTATTTCAAATTTACCTTAGAAATTTGATTAAAATACGGTAATGTTTGCACTTGTCTTACTCACAAGTAGTTAATGTTATTTTTATGTTTCTTTTTCTTTGTTTAATTTGAACTAGTTTATGTTCTGATTTTCAAAATTTAAATTAATTCAAAAATATAAATTTACTTCTGATAATCTTCCTTCATATTTATCATGTATGCTAGATCTGTTTTTAAATTTTAGCTTTCTATTGAAGAAAGGGAATATTTAAAAGCTCTAAGAGAGAGAAAACAGACTCAAAAGGCAGTTTCCAATTTGGAACTACTGACAAAGATGCTGTCAAAAAATGTCAAAAGCATGCAACTGAAATAGAGAAATTAGACAGGCAGATTGAAAGGTAACAACAACAGGATTCCACACATGTTGCCTCTACATCGAATATTTTCCCACCAATTTCTTCCAGTGAAGAAACAACCAATGATAGTTTTGAACCTGGAAGACAGTAACTTATTAAGGGTAATGAATCTTCCAATCTTGGGGTATGGCTTTCTAACGTCTTTTTATTAAACCTAAAAGATGTGGGCTTTTTTCGTCCAATTCTTAACATAAAGGACATTACCACTGATAAGTCAAAAATAGACAGGGAAAAAGCTAGAGTAAAAGTAAGCATGTTCAGAAGCATGAAAATTAATTGCAGAGCTGATAAAGACATTTTGCAATACAAAGAGAATACAAAGGAAAACATAAAATAAAATTAAGAAAACCAAAGGACCAGAGTGCCACTTAACTTTCACCAGAGATGGACATACAAAGAAGATATCACACCCACAAAGTTATTCCTAACATTGGTGAAACTGGTGTTGTTCTAGCAGAGGATGTTGCTGCTGTTTTAGAAGAATTCAACAGTGTAAATTCCATTAAGGGACTTCTAGTGGACAATACCAGTAAAAACACTGATTGTTAAGCAGGGCTTGTTACAACTATGGAGAAAAAACTTAAAAGAAAGTTGTACACCATTGGCTGTTCACTACATCAAAATGAACTTCCATTTAGAACTGTTTTTAAGTACATTGATGGAACTACAACAAACCCTACTACTTTTACTGGTCCTTTAAAGAAACATTGCAGAAATGATTACCAGGATTTGACCCAGGTAGAATTTAACACTATCACTAGCCCTCGAGATAACTTCTATCTTACTGCAGGGGTAATGGAAGATTAAAGCGGTGACCAAAGACTGCACTTAGAATATTCAGCAGGAAATTCTTGAAGGAAAGTGAACCCTAGAATTGCAGCCTGGAAATTTGGGTCTCTAAATCAAGCAAGATGGCTAACTTTAGCCATTGGGTTAATGTGTTTATGGACCAGAGGTGACTATCCACCAGAACTCTGATAAATTGTACAGCCTTATAAAATTTATAATCGAAATATATGCAATTAGTTGGTTTGAAATTAAAAGGAATAATAAATTCCATAACTAACAACTGTATATCTTCAATATGATCCAGAGAATAAATCAACAGTCGACTGAAATATAGAATGTTGCATTAAAAAATTTACAGCATAATTTTTTTTTTTTTTGTTTCAGAAGTAGTGAGCCACCAGAGAAGAGATAAAAAAAAATTACATTCAAATTTGAAGGGAAACACTGGTGTAATTTGATTAACCTCTTATAAAATGGTGTTTGTGAATCTGCGCTTGCAGAAGGTTTTTCAAATAATGAACTGTAAGAGGTTCTAATGAATGGAACAACACTAGAGTTGGCAAATTTATCTGAACATTTGCATAGTGTGGAAAACACAGTTAAATTAACTACTGAAGCTTCTAGATTTTTAATTCTGCAGTTCCAATTAATATACCTGGCTTCATTATATTTTATTAATATTGACTTGTTTATAGTAATTCTTCCAGCAATATAAACAAGTTTATCAGGTTAAAATAGAAGAGAAGAATGTTTAAAGAGAATTCCTAACCAGTATTGTGGGCTGAAGAAGCTGAGGAAGCACATCCAGCTGCAAGGGAGCCAGTGCTATTTGCTCGGATGAAAGTGAAGTGTGGATCCCCAGTGGGACTGGTTTCAATCTTCAAATCACTATCCATCACTGAAATTAAAAAATAAATAAATTCATCATTTTAAAAGAATTTCTGAAACTTTGATACTCTTTATTAAGGAAAAAACAACATTATTTTGACTTCATATTGATAAAAAAAGATAATTTACTTCATAATAATTTAATACAAGTTGATTTATTATTTCTTCTTCATCTCTAATCATTTTCAAATGACAATTATGTAAATAGTTTTACTCAGTGGATATTGTGGATTTTATAAGTACTAGACTTACAACTAAAAAGAAATGATTTTTTGCTATGGTTTGAAATTAGCACTTTGTTAGGTATGTTTGTAGTCATGACTGTCACTGAGCATAAAATCTAAAAACCTAGGAGTGTTATCCTATAATCTTTCACTTAAAAAGCATTTTGCAACAATATCACTAAAAGCTATACACAGCAAAATTAGTCCAAGAAAATTTGTTAGAACTTAATTATGCAGCACCTAGAATATTTTAGAATTTAAAAAAATAAGTGGAATATTTAGCTCTTATATTCCATTAAAAAGTAATTTTGTCCTCAGTGCATATATAATTAACATGTCCGAAATAAACTGGTACCTCACATGTACATTTTTATTTTATTCTGTAGATTGTTACAATGTGAGTTAATTCTAAACAAGGAGTTTTGATTACCAACTGAAAATTATTGGCAGATACTATAGACATTTATGGTTGCTTTACACTATAATTACTGAACTCCAATGATTAACAGGCAACATTTAAAAGTTTCAAATTATTTTTACAATTTAAAAAAATAAGTGGAATATTTAGCTCTTATATTCCATTAAAAAGTAATTTTGTCCTCAGTGCATATATAACAGGTCAACAAGTGAAAGTATTCCATTTTATCTTAAAGTAAGTTAATCATTTTACAGTTTTTGCTACCTTTATCAAAATCATTACAAAACTATAGCAGCAATATTAAAAGTTCATTAACAGAAAGTTAAAAGCTAATATGTAAATGAACCTTTTTTTTTTTAAAAATGATTACAGAAATTCATTTAAAAACATTGCTGTGATATGCAGTTAATTTATAATCACAAAAATAACATAAAACTTGGTATATTATTATATATCATATAGTATATTACAAATATTATAAAAAATATAAATTACTGATAAAAATATACTAATAATATATAAGTCTTATAGATTTCTCAATTATGATTTATTATAATTATTGATGATTTAATTGTATTTTACATGTCAAAATTTAATACTTACTGTTGGACTGGTCCAAACTAGAATCCCCAAAAGGACTTCCAGACATCATGTTTTTCTGCAAAGGAATTGGAATTAAATCAGATACTTTTAGCTCCAAATTTTAATAAGGCTAAAAATGTGATAATGGGAACCTGAATAAAATGGATAGTGTGTGAAGAATGGTCTTGCTAGTTTAAGAGTTACTAAATAGTACAGGGCGGGTGGAAAGAAATTACCTATTGAAAAGTACCTATAACTTTTGTTAATATCACCTCATTTGCATAAACAAAATATATTGGGATCCCTAACATGGTAGAATTTCATTGCTAATTTCTGTTTTTATTTCAGAGTGACAAGTGAAGCTCAGAATGGCACAATGCTTGACATTGCATGAACATGCTCAGCTAGCATCCTGTTACAAAGTGTGGCAGTTCATGGTACAAGTGCAGAGATGGTGGCACAGTGTTCATAAACTTTGTGCTTCAGTGGATGCCAAAACAATCAGAAATTCTCATTCCAAGCTGATGAGTACAGTATCTGTGGTAGATACCCACAAAATCCAGATTGGAAAAAAATGTGCAAAAATTAAAAATTTAACACTGTACTTCTACCATTATACTATGCAAAATAAAATGTTATATGAAAATCAACCAAGAATTAATAAAGTTATTAATTTTAAATAGGGAGTTTCTTTCCACCTACCCTGTATAATTACTATTTTCTTCAAATACTCAAAAGTTCAATTTTAACTATTAAATCTAACATTGAAAGTTAGTTATGAAATGTTTATAATCTACAATGTAAAAGAAAAACAACAATTGGAAATAATCAAAAGGTCCTTTAAAAAATAAAATATTACTTGCAAAAATATCAGCTCTGATTGAAAATTTGTACTGAGAAATAGAAAATAATTGATGGAATATAGACTTCTGTTCATTAAACACAAAGAGAAAACAATGGCTATTAAGAGGATTAAAACTACTAGCATCAATTGAATATATTTTGAGGACAGCTCTAAAATTATTAATAAACATAGACCTAAAAAAAACATCATTTTCTACAAAAGAAACTTCTTTCTTTACAGCTAGAATATTGAAAATTTTAAGATGTTTTTTAAAATATTTAATTAGAAAAACTGAAAATATTTTCTAGAAATTTGAAATTAAAAGTGCTTTTTTAAAAATTTAATGATTAATTCTTTTTGTTTGAGATTACAAATATGATCATTATGTAGATTTCAGTACAAAAGACCTAGATTGCAGCTATATCTGTAATAATTACAAAGAAATTTAAATTGAACAATATATAAAATGAAAACAAATTTATTACTCTATAATTAGGTTAAATATTAGAGTAGCTCAGAAGAAATGTTTATTTTATTATAAAATATATTAATAACTTGAAATCCAACAATGTAATATTTAACATTAGGTATTGTATACAAGCAGAACGATATTCACATACAAAATTACATGTAAGATTTGATACAGAACTAAATGACAAAGCTAGAAATTCTTCCCAGTTTTTATATTATCCAAACTATTTCTTACAAATTCATTATTGAAATCTTTAACCAATAAAAATTCTTAACATGATTTCTTTATATATAAACTTTAATACAAAACTGCAATTCTGAAGCATTACTGTATATTATGTTGACAATCAATTACTAAGCAGCTCATACATTTTAATACTCTCAATTAGATTTCTTTATAAACTATTCATTTTTAAGAAATATATGCTTCTTTTTGTAATCTTTATTTAGAATTTATTAATACATGCTTAATGATTTTATACAATTACATGCATGTTATACACATACTTAATATATTATTTAAATATAAACTAAAGAATAATTAGAAAAAAGAAAAATTGTATGTACTAGGTGACCAAAGAAAAATATACACCACACTATAGTGACTAATTAATATTCTATTTTCATCTGGTATTTTCTTTTTCTAGGTCCTGATTTTTCATTTTTTCAGTATTTATTTTTCAAGGATTCCTCTTTTTAAAAAAAATGTAAAGATCAATGTGATACACCGCAATACACAATTGAAAGTAGTCATCAAATTGTAAAAGAGAGGTGGAATAGCATAGAAAATTTTTTTCTGTAAAATTTTAAAGAGAGATTGCTTATATATATATATATATATAGTTGGATTGATGTGAGTTTGTGACGCTTTTGCAATCGTCAGACAAACTGATTAATTTTTAAAATGTGTATGTTAATGACTGTACAGGCATGTATGTATGTTTGCGTAAGTATGAGTGGCGTCTCAACGACAATATTTCCTCCCACTTCCATAAAAACACCGATATAGGCAACCCTATATAAATCCAAAATTTAAAAATCAATCAGTTTGTCTGACAATCGCAAAAGCGTGAAACCCAGGGTCACAATCTCACATCAATCCAACTAAATATGTTAGCTCTATCACTGATATTGAGTGCTTTCCAATAAGTACCACGCATATATAATATATATAAATAATATAATAAATTGCATATATATATATATATATATATATATATATATATATATATATATTCTTTTTACATAAAAAGTTTTATTAAAATCCAATAATTAAATGAAATTTGGAAGATTTTTAAAATTGATGTTTTTAAAACCTAAAAAAGGCAACAGTATTTACACAAAGTAAAGAACCTTTTTAAATGCAAATATATTTGGTTCTATTTAAAATATAGTAACAATATATCAAAATTTTTTATATTCTTTCTGTTTTTTGTTGAACAGAAAAAAAAAACTGACTAAAAAATTAAGTTTAATACATTTCATAGCATTTTTTAATGTATTACAACAGTACAAACATTTCCGGTTTACCATATGAAGTAAAATTGTTTAATCTTTATTTTAGGTATCTTTAAAGAAATGCTATACCTAAGGTTTAAAATTAATTATAAAAAAATGCAAATCTTTCTTGAAGCTTTTATTTTACTTTTAATTTCAAACTAATAAATTAAATTTAAAATTTCCAATAAGCAAAATCTTTTACTGTATTTCAAAATGAATGTAAATTGATTGGAATTTATATATATATATATATATATATATATATATATATATAAAAAGAGTTGGTCAGTTTGGCAATTGATGTTTCAGTATCGGTTTTCAGTTCAGTTTTTCAGTTTTTAATTTAGTATTTTTGCTTTCTAAGGAAGCCATTCATTTTCTTGTGTAATGATAGCATTTCCAATCAATATCTGATTTCGCTCGAGATTAATAATACTTAATCTGTTCAACTTGCAATATCTTGTGTATTTCTGGTCCAATCTTAAAAATATTTATATGACTGGAAAGAAAATAATATAAACTTTCTAAACATGTAATTTTTATGTGCTTTTATTTATTGAATTATTTTATTACAGCGAATTAAAACTGTATTGTTTCAACGAGCTGAAAGTGTGAAATGATTCCACCCACCCAGACTAAATTTTACACGTTACTTTGTTTCGCAAAATCAAAGTGACCAATCTTTATCAATATTCTTGAAATTGTACACTCAATTAGAAGACAACTTAAACTACAATCAGGAAGATGTTCATTTCTTTTGACCCGAAGAAGTGATTTCCTTCAAAAATTATAAAGTAAAAAAAAAAAAAACAAAAAAAAACAATACTAATTCTTTTCTGGTATGCCAGTCAACTATTATTGGGGTTTTGCAAATAAATTTCTTCTAAACAAGGAAAATCAATGAGTTATTTTTCCCCTAGATACATTTATAGTTTTATCTAGTGAATACACCTAAAATTAAATATTAAAAATAATTAAAAGCTATTAATTTCATTTTTAGAATATGTAGATTCCCAAATCTGTGAGTATCGCCTGTTCATTTTTAGATAAACATTTTAAAACTGAAATTAAAACTATTTTAATCATTTTAATATAATCTTAAGTGTATTATTCACCAGATAAAACCATAAAGATGTTTGTAAAAATAAAATCAAATAATTGTTTTTGTTTAGAAGAATCTTATAGGCAGAACAGTAACAAACACTCACGGAACACTAGTAGCTAAAAAAGAATAATTTTTACTTTCAGTTTAAAAAAATGACTTGCAGTTTTGAAAATATACATATTTTAAAACTGAGAGATCAAAACTTTATTTTTTTTTAATATCTAATTTTACATGTATTTGCTAGATAGAAACAATTTTAAATTAAGTACTATTTTAATTATTCATAATATCTAATTTAGGTGCATACCCTAGATAAAAAACAAATTTATGATATTTACAAAAAAAATCTTCATTCATTTTTCTTGTTTACAACAACTTTATTTTGTGAATGGTGTAACACTGGCTTACTAAAACAATTACCCTTACTACAAAAAATCCAACTTTCATAAAATTTAACATTAAGACAAAACTAGCAACTATTTTTTTTCTTTTTACTCGCTATTTTGTTATTAGCTTAATTTTACTGCAAAAAGTTTTTTTTTTGAAAACTGAAACAAATAGTTTTCAGACATTATGTCATATTTCCTTTTTTTATTCTTCATTCCGTTTGTAAACGAATAGATTCCACATTTATTTCCTAAAACTAGTCAATTAAATGTTTTTAACATTTTTGTTGAATCTTTTTCTCTTACAATGGTATAAATGCTGATAAAATTTAATTGGATTAACATCTGAAAGTCTTTTTAAATAGTGTTTCTTTGGATATGGTCACTCAGTAGTGATATAAAAACGAAACTGAAATCGTTCGGTTTTGTAAAAAATTTCGATGCGGTTTCACGGTGTGAAGATGAAACTGAAAAAAGTCGATTTTTGGTTAAACTGCACATCTCTATATATATATATATATATATATATATATATATATATCCCAAATTTTTAAACAATGCCTACTAATGCTAATACTGCAAAGCTCTTCTATGAATTGAGCACTGTTGGTCATTGGCATGTTTATTTGAAGAATAGGTACATAAAAATTTGCCTTCCTCTCTACTGTGTGCTGATAGCTCAGGGGTAAAATCTCCGACTGATGCCAAATCAGTTGGGTTTCGATCCCAGCTTGAAGTAATTGGATGTTTAGCCACACTGATGA